CAAAAGCAAACATGATCAAAGATATAATCTATATAATTATTTTTTAATTATAATTTAATTTTTATATAAAATAACGCTAATTGCTTTATTGTACATTTCTTGCACATAATTTATGTGTATTAAATTTTCCAAATCTAAAAAAAAGCAAACGGTTTTCCTGCCATGACATGCACACGCAAATGTGTGTGCCATATTTTTCTGACGCATAAACCGCGATGTGCAAAAAATAGCGCACCCTACCTCTGTCTCACTGTTGGTCACTTCAGTGATAGTCTTGTCTTTTGACATCAGATATATGCGCGCTTTTGAGAGCTTGTAACACTGAAAATACCCTTGTATGGTAAAAGGATTTTCGATTCCATCGTTATCTCTTAAGACATCCACTTTCTCCATTTTAAAGTTTGCAAGGTCAAATTCCATCTCATTTGCAAAACCAAACTTAGACTGTCCGTTTTCGAAAAAGATACCAATGGCTGCTTGCAGGACATTGTCTTTAGTGTATGCAGCAGGAAACTCCATATTTCTAGTTCCTCCCCCATTAGTTGCCCGTACATGAATGTAACGATCTTCCTTCTTATTATAATGTAGCCATCCAAGCTGGATTCGTCTTGTTTTCTCCTTCATTTGTACAGAAGATCCCGTAACAACATTGTTGGGTTTTTTACTTTTAGTACTAGTCTCTGCAACGTTTTGCTTCAGCCTAGTTTTCTTGCCAGACTGCAAAATAGCCATCAGCTTTCGCTTTCGTTCTTGTCTACAGCTTTCAGGAGTCTGCGTAAATGATCCTGAGGGCGTGCTTGAAGAGTTCCATCCTTGGCAATATGAGCGCAAAGCACAGATATCTCCTTTAGCGCACAAGCCAAGATCTTCCAATAGTTTATCGTCAGCACCGCATATTGCATCTGGGTCCATCTAGAATAATATTTTAACATTAGTACAAAAATTGTACATATTATAAAGATATCCATCTGTGAGATGTAAAGTCTGGTTTACAACTGTGTCTGTGAGAGTAGGTCACAATTACTTAAAGGTGCTCTACAGTCTGTATGTAAACAAAGCCTTTGTTTACATTTTTGTGTCCAAAATATTGAGCTTTATTCAACAACTATTTATATTTCCAAGCTTCTACAGTATAATAAATGATCAAGAAACAATAATCAGGCTTTTCAAGAACCCAAAACATAGTTAAACTGTTTGTATCATAAAAAGTGGGCTCCTTTGTGCACATGCGCAGATCGGACTGTAGATCACCTTTAAGCTTTATATGACAATCAAATACAAAAATCTCTCAGGTTAAGGTGGCACGATACAATTGTCAAAGTTCACTTTTTCTAGCATCTCATTGGTGGAAAATGCATCACGTGAGAGTAACGAAATTTTACTGTTCACTTAGCAATAAATACAAGTGAGCAACAGTACTTTTGGGTCGGTGATAGATCATGTCGAACTAACGTACCATGACCATGTTCATGACGTCATAATTTGACCGACAGCCAAGTCTGTAATTTATAGCTAAATCTCTGAGCTAAATTAAATTTTTAAAAAATAAACTGACCCTACTCCCAACCCTTACCCAATCCTTTAAACGTGTACAAGTAAAAAAGTTAAAACTAGTCAGGAAAAAAAATTTAAGTAAAATTGCTACTGAAAAATACAAAAACATCCGGAAGCGGACTTGAACCCTGGGAGTAGAGCAAATTGTCTTATGCCTAACCTCTTGAGCTAAAGCCGAGCTAGCTGAAGTTCCTAAGAAAATAGTATTTATAGTACGGTCATTTTAGTATTAGTAACACCGACCGTACTTTTGTTGACCATCAATAATAAAAAAAATTAAAAAGCCACGTGAAGTGCCATGTGAATGCGACTTCGAACTCCTTTACAAATAGCTTCATGTTGTATTTTATAAAGTTGAGTTTTCAGTAAATTTCAAAAATAAATAATAATAATAACAATAATTGATTTAATAGATCGCATTGCAGCCAAAACTGAATTTATATACGGTATAATAAAACGTTTCATATGATAATAAAGCACTTTAATATTTACTGGACCCTCTGGAAAGCAGTATATATGTTTCATATTTCAGTATACAGCGAGACATAGCTATAGCCAGGAGATGCTGAGTTCCATCAGCAGTATTTTATCCTCATAATTATGCAATATATACAGGTATAGATATATAGTGTATATAGCGTGTATAGATATATAGTAAATATATATAGTGTGGGCTTGTGCATATTATCGACTTATAAAACTTGCATGATTGTGTTGTTTGTGTATATATTTTTTAGTAATTTTTTAGAATGAATATTTTTGTAAATAGAAACGGCCCCTTGAAAATCAGACTTACTTACCATTTTAAAATATTTGTAAATAAATAAATAAATAATATATTTGAAAATCAGAGTTTGGCGGGTTAGCGTAGTGAAATATTTGTAAATAAAAATAATAACTTCGGGGTTAATATAATAATGAATAAGGTTTGGTCAGGATTATTCTAATCAATAATTACAGTGTTTAATTACAGCCGTTTACAGTACAGTACATACCTTTTCTGTACGAAATCGACTGATCACACTTGCTCTTACATTTCTTGATTTTAAGAAATTTAGAACCTATGTCAGAAAGGAAAGCATTCCTATTTCGTATACTAGAAAATATTCAATTTGGATAACAACTAATAACGCTGTACCTTTCCAACGCCTACGTGTTCAACGTCTTCTTCCTGGAAGTCATCCATAATCTCATCGTTTTCCTCCATCTTGGATGCAATTAATAAGGCTTTACATAATTACATGTTGCAACTTGCAATCGCAATCGCGTGTTATAAGTCGAGATCGCGCATTATAAGTCGCGATTTCACATAATAAGTGGCGACCGCGTGTTATAAGTAGCGATTTAAACATAATAAGTCGCGATCGCGTGTTATAAGTTAAGATCGCGCATTATAAGTCGCGATTTCACATAATAAGTGGCGACCGCGTGTTATAAGTAGCGATTTAAACATAATAAGTCGCGATTGCGTATTATAAGTCAAGATCGCGCATTATAAGTCGCGATTTCACATAATAAGTGGCGACCGCGTGTTATAGTAGCGATTTAAACATAATAAGTCGCGATTGCGTGTAATAAGTAGCGATTTATACATAATAAGTCGCGATTGCTTGTTATAAGTCGCGACCGCGTATTATAAGTCGCGATTCACATATAATAAGTTGCGATCGCGCTTTATAACTCGCTATTGCGTGCCATAAGTTTCGATCGCGTATTATAATTGGCGATCGCGTCAATCTGCCGCAACTGCGCGATATATGTTGCGATTGCGCGTTATAACTGGCGATCATATTAAAAAGTGTGGTGTATTAATGAATGGCCCTAATGAGCGACGGTAGAAAGCTACAAACGCGAGGTCCTATTACTTATCCCCAAATTAAAATATTGGGTGCGTTTTATTTTGTCATATGATAACACCGGGTTCGTAGTCTCCAAGACCAAAAAAATTCAAACACTTTCAAAGATTTTTTATTCCTATTGTCAAAGACTTTTCAAAGACCTTTGAGAGCAATCAGCTATCGAAAAATTGCGAATGTAAGCACCATTTTTACCCGGTAATTAGTCCCGTCAAATCACATCCTAAAATGCGCCTTTTCGTCGATATTTGCCGATTTGCGAAAATCTTGCTTCAATCAATCTATTTTATTAGCTAGGAAATCGTATAATCAAATACTCACTAAAGAATTTAAAGACTTTTAAAGACTTTCTTCGCTTTTTCATACAATTCAAAGACTTTTCAAAGACCTTAAAGACCTGCATTCAAATTTAAAGACTTTCAAGGATTTCAAAGACCGTTACGAACCCTGTAACACGTGCAAACCTTTGCCTGACCCATTTGATAAGATGTGGTTAAAAATTACAATTTAAGTGATCGATAGGCTGCATCTAAGAAATCAGAAAAAACCCCAGAATGTGCTAAGAGAGTAAGAGGTATTCAGCCGAGCCTCTCAAGACTCAAAGAAATCCATCCAAAATTGAACACGATGGTGGCAGAGCAAACGGGGTCTGGAAAGTAGAACACAGGTGAAATGTTGTATATTAGGTGCACGCATTATAGTGCGAGTGCTGTTTTGTGTCTTTTGTATGTCAATCCATTGAAGAAATGTCGTAACTGAAGCTAGTATGTGTTCAACCATAGTGGTTCAACCTCGCAAGCAAGGGCCTCCACACCGGCCGCGGGTGTCAATCGGGCAGAGCAAAATGGAAAATATCCTGAGTGGCAACAAATGAATTTAATTCAGTGCTGTCGATGTTGATTGCTTGTACTATTCCACTCAATGTACTATTGTACTGGTCACTTGGTGAGTATCTGCACTGTGATACCTGAGCGCGCGGCTGTGAACTGGAGATTGCATAAACAAGTGTTTATGCACTAGCTTAATTGGTTCGTCACTGAGACGCGGTTGAACACTCTACTTGGTGAATGCCTCTCGTAAGCGCACTGGCCAGGAACATTCAGATGATGAATCATTTCATAGCGTGGTGGCAATGACTCTTTTGGCTGAGTCGGCCTTCTGTAAGGTCTATTATCTTATTTTCCGTAGACATTATTCGACTTCAACCATTTATAATTTAATTTCACAAAACTGACCGGAAATTATTCTTGAATTCTATTTTTGCACTCTTCAAGATCGATACACTTAATATTGCCCAATATTCATGCTTTTCTATGGAAAATTAATTAATATCTTCAATAAGATCTGTGTTCGTGCTCATGAATCATATTTCGTTGAACGTGTCACATTTATACACACTTAGATGAGTGACGATCGGGCAAAACTTAAAATATAACATCAATGAAAAAACGCGGAGCAAAATTGAAAAATATTACGTATGGCAAAAGCAGTACTTCCCTCCCACACACTTTAATATAATGGTATTGACTAATGGGTATTGGAATAGATTCTTTGTCCTTCCGGGAAAAGAAACATTTTAATATGTCGGAAAAAATGTCTGTGGTTGTAAAACAGATATTGAAGTGAGTATCACGGATGTTGTGGAAGTAGGCTTCCATGGGGCTTAGCAGCTAAATCCCCAGTTAACAGTAAGACTTTTATCAAGACAGCAATAAGCTTTGATAATATAACAAATTTTTGTCAATTTAATAAGATTTGACTTTATTGTACGATTGTTACAGTTATTGCAACTTATTTCTTGGTGCATGAACCTTGGCAAAATATGCATTAATTTTCCATACAATAACAAGAGTATCGGGTTCGGTAAATTTCACCCGACATGCACTTAATTTGTGTAAAGCCGTCCAAATAATATATATATATTCACGGCATTCTTGAAAATAAAGATGTCAATATGTGAGACATGAAAAGTGATGTTATCTGGTTTAGCTATATTGCCCATTCATTATAATACTCTTAACTCTCCTGTTACTTGCTTTCTAAAAATTCCCGCTCAAAGCATACATTTTATATTAGAATTTATAGCAACGGTTTCTGCGCTGCGTGCACGAGAACACAAGGGGAGGTTGCTGCAAATATCAAGAGGGGTCCGACTTCATTTTGTCTCGTGGCAACGGAGACAAAATCAAACCTCACAGTTGATCCACAATTGAATTATATGTATATAAAATTGTAAACTATTGTGATGAAATTTGTGATTTACTGGAAAAAATCCTGTAAAACCAAAGAGGGTGGAAAATATCACTGTATGACAGCCCCCTTCAGAGTGTATTGTTATGCACAATACATGATATTCAGTTGTCGTCATTCAGAATAAAGATTTAGATAAAGAGGGAAAACAGGATGCGGTTTTGAACCACCACTGATACGCGTGACCTTAGCTATTCGGCCTTTTGAATGATGGTTTTTAATGCGAATTTGTACATTTGTTATTGTCGTTGGCACTTTTTGTACATATAGCAACTTTCTTAAAGCTTCTCCCTTGTGTAGAAATATTGATTCACAAACTTGCATCTTTGAGCAATAATGTGATCTCAGTTGGCTGTTTTTTATCTTTAGTATAAAACGAAGTGTTTTAACACATTACAGCCACTGAAACACTTCAGGGTCTGGTTGTATAAAAGGCTTATCTATACTCGTTTCGTAGTTAAAATTGTGGTTAACTACTAAACTTTCAATTACGCGATTCTGATTGTTTAACCATTGCACTAACTATAGTTAAATATAAACTTTGACTACTTACTACGAAAAATATCCGCATTTGGTGAACAAATATCTTGCACGCAAAATAGGCCGTTTGCTGCGTCCCGATATCGTTCACTTTCATTTCACCTGTCTTGGAACTGAAATATTTTTACCGGAACTAACACTTTTGGACACGCTGAGTTCAAATCCGAAAAGTTCCCGCTCCGAAGACCTGCAGTTTTCTCACACTACTGCAATTTTATCTTCACTAATTTCACGACAACTTTTTTCATTGTTCAACGACACGGATCGATGACGACAAACGATTATGTCACTCAAAAAGACCAATTTCTATCAACCAGTCTACCTTTTTAACAAAAGACCGGTTTTGCTCGAATCATTTTGAGTTATGTTATATTATGCGTGTTGGACTTACACAACATATCTTGTCTACAACTTTGGGAAGGTACAGATAAAGCTTTCTGAAATCCCCAGTTCTGGCTCTATCTCAATAAAATTACAAGGACGTTAATGCTAAGTCTTTAGGCTATGTCTCTGGGCTGAGAAATATCTCTTTTAACGCGATCAAGGTATTTAAAACAAAAGTAACGCGAAGCCAACGGAACGGCAAAGACAACACTAAAATGAAATATTGTCGATGGGTTGCTGGTAGAAGACTTACGACAGGATCACTCTTAAATAATCTTAAACTATAGAAGAAAAAATGATCACATCAAAGACAAATATTGGTCCCAAAGTATAAAATCTGCTCTGTAAACTTATAAAGTGGAGAAATGAGTGCATGAGCTGTTTATTTGGTGATTACAACGTATATGAAAGCCCTCTTTCCAATAATGGTTGCTAACCGCACAGAATAACACCAACTGATATAATAGTTCAAATACAATGATAAGTTACCTCTTGAATTACGTCTCAAAAACTGTGTTGGAAATTTAAATGCTGACCCATTACATAACATTACCGTTTTACATCGTTGTATAAAACATTTTGATCGCATATATGCAATTATTTCTCAGCCCAGAGACATAGCCAAAAGACTTAGCATTAACGTCCTTGTAATTTTATTGAGATAGAGCCAGAACTGAGGATTTCAGAAAGCTTTATCTGTACCTTCCCAAAGTCGTAGACAAGATATGTTGTTTACGTCCAACACGCATTATATAACATAACTCAAAATAACTTGAGCAAAACCGGTCTTTTGTTAAAAGGAAGACTGGTTAATAGAAATTGGACTTTTTGAGTGACATAATCGTTTGTCGTCATCGATCCGTGTCGTTGAACAATGAAAAAAGTTGTCGTGAAATTAGTGAAGATAAAATTGCAGTTTGTGAGAAAACTGCAGGTCTACAGAGCGGGAACTTTTCGGATTTAAACTCAGCGTGTTCGAAAGTGTTAGTTCGCGTAAAAATATTTCAGTTCCAAGACAGGTGAAATGAAAATCGCTTTCTAGGCACTTTTCGAGGTCAAAGCATACGGCCTAAAACCAACGAGGGTGAAAAAAGGCATGTAAGAAATTCCCATCCACGTTATAACAGTATATCACAAAGTGATGCCCCATTAATAATAATTGTAATTCACAAAGTAATTAAAATTGTCAGTAATATTATATATACAGGGTGTATAAAAAAACACTATTATATTGCTGCATCTTAGGAAAAAATGTAAGTTTGCGTGAATAGTTAAAGGGGCTTAAACTGAAGCAAATTGTCTGAAATTTTGTGCAGCAATTAAACACACAACATATTTTTCACCCATTAGCCCAAAATATGATTGAAGCTTTTAAATCTCGTGCGCAAGCCATTTTTAGTTTGTTGGAAAAGACACACCACACTGGTTTACAAAATTTGAGTTCGAGAAATTGTTTTCATTATTTTACATTATAAGTAACCAAAGAAGCTATACATTTAAAAAAATGGATACTAATAGCTGTTTTGCGAAATTGAGAGCAATTTCAAATCTGTTCAGATTTTTTTATACACCCTGCATATAGACAATGATAAGATAACAAAATGTCGCGAGCTCTGAACGGACAAATTGAAAATATCTGTTTAGCGTGGGTGTGTCGTGGCTCGTGAGTAAAAAAATTACAATGAATGAAAATGTAAAAGGGCCGTCTAAACAAAACCGGCCCGTTGTATTTGCTAACACTATAGCTTTTCCCCTTACTTAACTCCACTTTCTAGATGGCAAATGTTTTCGCCTTTGAACATTGAGATTAGTCTCTCTCCTCCATAGAGGTTTTCGTGTATTTTCCATGAGTTTTCCATGATTTTCCGTACTTTTATGTATCGCATACGTGAGGACCTTAATTCACGCTGGTTGGCCGGCAATAGACGTTTGGGGAAATGTACTCGCTAAACATGGCAATGGAAGGAAAACACCCTAATGGAGCGCAATTTGGAAAAACGCAGCCGGCAAGAGCTATGCATGGGGCTGAATGTTGGGCAGATCCCAGAATGGTAAGAAGCAAAATATCTGTTCAATTCCAGAATGAAAAGTTTTACTTTGCGCAGAAACTTTGCGCGGATACTTTCACAGAAAATTAGCAGGCAGAAAGTGCTTTTATCAAATAGGAAGATCAGAAATCGGCTTCGTTAGTGGTTCACAAAGGCATTTTGTGTAGATTCTTCAGAAATTATGTGCCATTTATATTAAGCTGCTCCTTTCTCCCATACCCACTAAACTTGTCTGTTACAAACTAGATGATGGTAATAGGTGTGTTATAAACGTTTAGCTACATGTATATTAGTGATAAAGACGGTCTTATGTGTTAAAAAGTAGGATGTAATTTAACATACTTAGAAATATTAACTAGCTTAAAAATGTTTAAGTATATACTTTATTTTTCCCTTGAACTTCTGCTTCCAAGCATCAGTCTTTAGACTAGGTTTCAGCATCTGCATAGTTATGAAGTTCAACACACTTTTTTTTGTATACAGGTAATAATAATAAGATACTTAATTTCGATTACACAAGGTGTCAGGTGTGGTTGCTGGAAAAACCCCTTGGTGGGTCATAGCACAGGGGAGAATCAAACAAACACTACTTATGTGCCTTTAAGAACAGGAATGTTACCCAATCACCTACTTTGTAAGTAAAATCCTCGACACTGAAACAACAGTACCATGCTCTCCTAATAGATATAGAGCTCTCTATATTTGTTAAAATACAAAAAGGTGTATGGAACTTCAGTCAGCCTGTACAGCACCACGAATGATCAATGTGATCTTCAAGTTCTCTGGGAACATCAAACACAACATCACAAACACAACAAACATATCCACCACCAGTTGATTCTGTTGATTCCAGTTCTTGACATAAGGGACCGTTCATTATTTATACCTGGGGTTGGTACCGAAGAGAAGCGAAAAACAGTGCAACTTTTTTATGTACCCAACCTCAACATTGGTCAACATAGCGTTTACCCAACCCATGTGTTACTGTACTTCATAATAATTAAACACACAAGTTTATGGTGACAGAAATCAAGTTGCCTAAATTTTAAAAGCTCACTAGTCAAACTCACTGAGTGTGCCAAAGCATCACGTTCCTGCTGATCAATGATAGAGTCCTTCCTCAATCACGGATGGTATTTTGGTACAGAATTATTTACACATTTTTCTTCATATTTTCCAATACATGGTGATTTTGGTTTTATTTTATAGCTGACAAACAGCCATAAATTTCTTACCCAACCCAAGAGCTAGTCAAAAACTTGATTACCCAACCCATATCTCTTCGGTACCAACCCGGGTATAAATAATGAACGGTCCCTAAACCACATTGATAGTTTCCATCATTTCCATGTTGCCTTGTTATATGTTGTATCAATGTCACGAAATTAGAGAGTTGTTCATTACAATAATTACAAACATATTTCCCAGTGTTTTTATCCTCGACAAAATGTTCTTGCAAATCTTGAGGTTGAATTTGTAGGACAGAGAACACTCCCTCTCCGACACACACACACACACACACACACACACACACACACACACACAAACACTTGTAATAAGTAACCTGGCGGAGGAAATTACTCTCCTGCCAAAACACTCCAAGTAATCTTTGTAATTTTGGTATGTTTCAGTGACATAGGCTTTTCACTGTGGCAATCATTACCACCCGAGCGTTGGCCACTGTCAATAAAGACTTGTATTCAGGTACTTACACTGTTAGTGAGCGTTGTCTAATGTCAGCTAGCATTTCTCTCATAAATATAATGCAGCTACAGTATCTATATAATAGCATCAATTTGAATTGTTAATATCAAATACAGTCTTTACCTGCCTTTCACCATGGAAACGCTGCATATCCTTTTGGACACAATAGTTATAAATGCAGGTTGAGTGCTCTCAAACATAAATAATTTGCCATTGGCGAATGCTACTTTTACCAAATAAATTAAAGAGAGTACAGTATAAAAATTTTAACCATTTATTAACCTTCGTCAGGGTTACGCTTAGTTGGATGACAGCTTATAACTTGATTATAATTCATGCATAAAACCACTCAATTTCTTGAAGCAAACAATTTCCATAAATTTTAAGCACTGTTGTAAACACGATTAAGGCCCGGTTTAGACGCCGTGCTTATCATGAGCCGAACTTAATGTTAATTAACTAAGTTCTTTGTTTAAGCTAATTTGCATTAAGTTCGGCTCATGAAAAGCACGGCGTCTAAACCGGGCCTTAGCACACTTCGCACAATGTTAGACCACGACTAACGTCTAGCCAATGAGTCTAAGTACACTGGAGAAGTTTCATAAAATATTTTAATAACACATCGCATGATCGCGAATTTATGATGAGCGTATTTAAACACTTTGCGTGAAATAACATACAGCTGTCATAGTTAATTAACCACCTGCTCCGGACACAGCCATAATAAACGAAATTGAAATTATATATATTTTACTTAAACTTAACATATTGCCATTGCGTTTGAACGCTGGACACTCGAATCAAGTAGAACATATTTTCATGCACAAAGGTAGTGCACGTGAAGTGTTATAAATAAGACTGGTTCCGATATAAACATGAATCGATCTCAAAATTCTCAACAGTCTCAACTCAGCTCATCAAAACCCAGTCTGATCGGGATGATTCGTGCTCGAAAGTTAGCAATAAAGATCAAACGACGCGCTCAGTTTCTGGTGGCGGATAAACGACGACGTGAGAACTGTGGTAAAGCAATCTTGATCCATCATGATATACCTCAGTCAAGCTCGAATAAGGCTCTCAGTTTAAATGATGAAAGATTTCTAACATCAAGCGATGGCAGACTGTTAGTCAGCTCACGGCAGTATCTAACACATTCTAGCCGTGAAATCGAAAGCAAAAAGCGTCCAGTTCGGGAATACAAAACAACACCAGATCATGTTTTCCCAGTAATGGCTATTGAATCAAAGATCGGGGAGATACTTGAATCTCGACTGGAAGGAATGAAGTATAGTCCAGTATATGGCAAAGAGATCAGTAAACGTTTGGCTGAAGAGATCAAGAAGGAAGTACAAACAAGCTATGATCTAAAAAGATATAAGTTGATATGTGTTGTAAATATAGGAGAGATGAAACCTTCGTCTCTAGGTAGTGCGCGCTTTGGGAGTCGTTGTTTATGGAACACAACGTTTGATAACTTTGCATCTTCATTCTATCAAAACAGTCAAGTGTTTGCTGTGGCAACTCTATATGCTGTTTATTACGAATAAACATGCAGTATGATTGTTATTATATTTCGTACTAACTTGTAGCTGCTTGCTAAGTTGTTTCGTAAAACCTTGACAACAGAATAAACGTTACAAACAATTAGGCAGACGTGTTTTGCATGATTATAACAACATAAATTATATATCAGTTATAGCATATAGGTTCCTTTAACTTACCGCCAAACCAATTTGCAAACCATGGGTGCAAGTAAATATAGTCGTATGATTTAGACAGTAGAAAGATCGGGGCCAAAGTAATAAGGGCCCATAGTAATTGGTAACATATACTGTTGTGGTGACCCTGCCATGAATGCATGATAATGGCGAAGTTAAATAAATAAATAAATAAATCGATGGCGCATTGTTTAGCAATGTCCACATATTTGATCATACATTTTCTGTTTTCCGAATAAACATACACACAAAAAAAAACAAAAAAAAAAAAAACACACGTCACGAAAATCGCTTAACAAAATGACGCTACCTGTACGCGCCATCCACTGCTAAACCTTTTGTCTCAAGAACGTGAGTAAATAATGCACTATATTGAGTAAAATTACTCAAATTTACACTGTAAAAATCATTGAAATGAATATAACAGATAAACTGGCCTTCTCTTGAAGCTGGCTTTTTCAGGTAAACTGGCTTTTTCTTGAAGCCAAATCTTCACGACCCGCGTGTTTATATCATTGAGCGCTCCTCTCATGTGTGAAAAGACTGGGACTGGCTTTCAACTTTGGTTTCAAATTTCCGGTTGGAGGTAGCATTATATTCATTTCAATGGTAAGAACAGAATGGTTAAAACAATCACGAAATTCGTTATCTTTAATAATTGACAATTTTACTCTTTTTTAGTAAAAACTATTAAAAGCAAATGTTTACTCAAAAAATCCAGTATATTTGTAACTTGGACCAGAAAATTGAGTAAATTTACTCGTGAATTTGCGTGATTTTATTCAAAATTTGAATCAATGTGGGCGCGTTATTTTACGCACGTTTTTGAGTCAAAATGCGCAGGATTTTTTCGGTGTCGAAACCCCTCTTCAGAAGCGGTCAGCATTATTGGAATAATAAATGTACAAAATTTTGGTTGTCAAAAAATTTTTCATTATACATTTTTGTGAATTTTTCAACATTTTTGAAAATGACTCTTCTCTAGACATAGGTGGCTTGATATATAAAGTAATGCAATCTTTTAACTTTTCTTCTATAACATTTTCAACTTTGTTCGTAATATTAACTTCCGAGATTATTCTTAAATTTCATTTTTCATGCATTGATTAATTGTATAGTCCTGGAATGAAAATTAAAATTTAAGAATTTAATGTTCATAAATAAACTATTCAAATGTATCCACTATACAATATAAATATTCTTGAAAAATAATACTTATCGTTCATCTCGACTTCATGTGTGATGAAAGTGCAAACCATCCATTCTCAGATTTCTGAAACCAAAAATTCACGCATGCTCAACTTAGTAGACAATGATAATGAACATACAAAACATTTTCAAATGTTCGGGTACCCTTAGTCTAAGTTGCCAACAATGCTTGGTTTTAATTATAATGGAACGAATACTTGTATTGTAGTTTTTAATTGTCAAATTGATATTGAATCACTCGCTTAAGATTTTACTGCATGTCGGATAAGGAAAATCACGTTGAGCCAAAGATCTTGATTCAATGCCAAGCCAGGGCATTCGGAACACTTTTTCAGCAAGTAAATCGAATTCATTGCAACATATCACAAGTGGATTATTCTTGCCGATCGCAGAGGAAAGCAAGTTAGAATAACAAAACATACTCTTACTTGCGACTGAAGGGATAAAAATAAGCCCAAATCCTAACCCTACTTCTATTCCTATAAATAGCTCTATAAAACGAATGTACCCTCAATCCTAAAGAAAATCCTAAAAATAACTCTAAGCTCTATTCCTAATGCTAAAGTAGTAAGACCTAAAGTAGTAAGACCTAAAGTAGTATGGATCTAAAGTAAGCAGGTTTTAACCAAACCCCAAAATTTCGGGCTGCTTGGAAAGTTAGGATGTCAGCACTCCCAACACTGACATGACAAGAATTGAGTTTCTGTAATTGTTCATCAAAGCATCCATTTCATTGATTCAATTATCCATCGCCAAAGTCGCCTCACATTGGCCATGCAAATCATCAGACTTACATGACACATACAGCCGGCTATCATCAGCAAAACAATGTAAATCTGAGAAATTAATGTCAATGATATCAAAGAGTTTGGACGCATATAATATGAAAAGAAGATGCCCCAAACGGAACGCCAAAGTTCAAATCAAAATTGTCAGAAGAAGCACCATTCAGCACAACACAATAACCTGCTTCGACCAGACAAATAAGAGGAGAACCAGTTGAGGACCTTGCCACGGAACGCAAATTTAGAACTTAACCGTTCAAGATGATTTTATGGTCTATTAATAGTGTCAAAAGCAGAACTTAAGTCCAAGAGAACTGTCCATGTTCAGTAGAATATCAATCAGTACTTTAAGTAACGCAGTCTCGGTGGAAGATTCCATCGGAGAAGATGATCGTGTGTTTGATTGTAAACTGCCAGGTCAATGAGCTTGGAAATATATGCTAAATTGCTAATGGAACGAAGATTGTCAAAAGCAGACTGCAGCCCAGCTTATTTTAGTATAGGAAGAATATAATGGTTTCTTTCCAATCGTAGGAAAACACCCGGATTCAAGTGAAATATGGATAATTTTTGTGATCACACCTGTGAATACATCCAAACACTTCATTAAGAGATTTGTATAGGGACAGGATGAAGGTGAGACGATTTCTTCCGTGAATTAATGATAAGCTTCTGAACATCATCTTCCGATAAGGGTTCAAAAACATCAAAAGGAAGTACATTAAGTGGATACTCTACGTAGTCATTGCCTTGAGACTCTTCGTTGTCATTATTGGTCGAAGAGGTTCCATTGTCCATTTCAGACGAATATTTGAAATTTTCTGAACAAAATATTTGCCAAGTTCATTTACAAGAACTACTTCATTATGTCCAGGAAAACTTATTTTCCTTTTTCTTTTAACAGACTTTTAATAACTCTGAAAAGTTTTCCTTGGATATCACTGTTCGTTTCAACAAAGTCAGAGAAAAAGGTTTGCCTTCCTCATTAGGTAAGTACAATGGTTCTTCAATGATTTAAGTACATTAAAATCTGCCGTGGGTTTTGTAATCTGCCATTTCCGCTTAGCTCTCCTTCTTTGCAAATTTTATTTCTTGATTATACCACGGAACCATAGGCCTAGACAATTCTCTTCTTTAGCAGAGCATGACGATCCAGAAGATCGGATAACGTATTATCATAGCAGTTTACCAAGGGATCAAATTGCGTGGGATTATCCAGACATAATTTAGATGCAGCCAGGTTTGCAGTAAAGTCGGTGATATCTACATATTTTATGGACCTGTATGATACACATTCCTTAGAAGAAGGAGGTGGTTTTGAAGTTATAAGCTCAAACAAGATTGTTATGTAATCTGAGAAACAGTGGTCAGGTTGAGGTTGTGATCCCAAAATGGAATCAGTGACAACCAAGTTTAATATCATAAGCACATGTTACCTCATCCAATTTAACCATCACAGTGTCCTGTATCCCATTTATTGTAGCCTATATCGTTGAAAGTTCAGGTTCAACTGCGGCCTGCTCAGCTTTGTTATCAACCAATCCTTCGCCAGCCATTACAGTAGAATTTGTAGTATTCAGCCCATCATCGTTTGTTCCATCACGAGATTCGCTTCAGTATCTTTTTCTATTACAAGCTTCTTTCGCGTTTGACCAGACCATTTAAGAGTGATCTCAAATAGATTAAGATAAATTGCATTTCCAATCGTTAATAGATAAATTCAATATAAGAGTTGAAAGTGCTTTACTTCCGTCGCTAATTGTGAGCATATTAACGGTATCATACATAAATAAATCAGCCAAATTTTGGCTAGAGCTAGCGGAGCTCAAGTTGACACGTCCGTCCATAACAACGTATACTACAATTACAACACTTTTTGATATGTCATGTTTTGTTTGGTCTCCTGAAAGAACTGTGACTATATGACTATGACTATAATTATGACTATGACATGATTATGACTATAAGACTACATGACTATGACTATATGACTGCGACTAAAATCATAAATCGTCGCATAACTAAAATTTCATTGCCGAGAAATCTTTATTCTATACTTGGCCATCTATCTGGAAACATGTCCTATGTTTGTAGATTTTACGGTAAATCTTATGCTAATTTTAGTAATCGTCTCCGTCACATGAAGAGCGCGAACGGTACACAATGGGCAAGAAGCTGCCCTCGCCAACGGACCCATCATCATGCAACATCATTTCACATGCATCGTTGCTGGATGCACACAGAGTGGGAAAACTCTATGGATAAACACTCTTCCGGAAAATGCATAAACAGCCATCAACCCACCTCCAGAACGTAATGTCTGGTACTATGGACAATGACAACCCATGCATTTTGAAATGGTTAACACTATTCCTGGTATTGAATTTTTCTTCCGCAATTATAATTCCGAATATGATTTATTTGATGTAACTCAACGTAATTTGATTGTTCTTGATGATCTCATGGCGCAGTCAGGGGAAGATAAACTTTCGCCGATTTATTAAAGGGGAGTCATCACCGGAATATGATTGTAATATATATTGTGAAAATATATTCCATCAAGATGATGCACAATCTCGGCAACTAGACGATGCCAGTCAAGAAGAGGACGATTTAGGGGAGAGAGAAATCTCATATGCAGACGAGCACAAACAAAGATTAAAAATGTTACGCTATTAAAGAAATAGACCTTACTAAATTTGAAATAAACCTTACTAAATTTGTGTATACGTTTTAAAACGAAATATAATATTCTTACAAATAAACTGATATCTGTGTTTATGTGCGTATCAGCGCCTGGCCTTCATTTTCAAATCTCTTTCATACAGTCACACCGTGAGTATTCGTTGGGCTCAGCGCTCGGCCTCCATTTGCAAATCTCTTTCATACAGTCACACCGCGAGTCGCGCTCAGCTAATCAGCGCCCAGCAGCATCCCTTTGGACGCTATATGGGAGGTTTATCTACTCTGACATGTACTGAATATTAATAAGGAAAACTGAAATTATTTCGAGATATGGTCGGCAAAGTTTTTATTTGTTGGGTTAAGTACTACGAAAAGTATTAGCATAATTAAAAACTACCTAATTAAACTTGGAATTTGAGCCTTATTTCGCTACAAAAATCGAAATAAAGAGAAACAAAGCGATGTCCACGATGTCATGCAATGAATACTCAGAGAAATGATAATTTCTGTGCATTTTCCGGTCATATGCTGAAATCAGATTTTGTTGCAACTTTGAGCAATTATGTCGCTTGTACTATATATTGATCCTTGGACGTTTATATCCTTACGCTTATGCTTGCGTTATTGTGAAAACCAGGCTTTAATATGAACACTAGTACAGAGCCATTTTAAAGTAATTTACTTACTTGTTTAACGACTTGCTTATTGAGTGTTACTGTAGGCGTATTTCTTTGCACTCTAAAGAGAAAGTACTTCTAAAGGCCATGCATTTAAAAAATTTCCCTTATAAAACATGGTCAATCCCCCAGGGAATTTCTCTTATAAAACACGATCAATCTCCCATTTTACATACAATTTAATTTAAATCACAGACAAAACTAAATGCTGTCCTTTTATATTCATTTAATTATTTCATACGAAACTCTTAAATGGGGTTTAAACTTGAAAACGCTTAACTGGAAAAACGCTTAACTGGAAAACAGCCTTAACTTGCAAACGCAGGGTTTTCGTTTCCAATATTTTATCAGGACATTCAGACACTTACCTAGCGTACTGTATTAGCGGCTGTCCTATTCGCTAGGATAAGGTGCGTTCAATCACGAACTCACCTGCTGACGTATATGTTTAGCAGGGGGGTTCGAGATCGATGTTTTTGGCGGCGATTTGAACAAATTTCAGACGAAGATTTAATAATTCAATTTTGTTTGATGAAAATGGAATATTCTGTATTCAAAGTGGAAGAGAAGAAAGATGGTCGCTGAAATTTGTTCAGCACTGGCAGGTTTATATAAATATTGGCAATGGTTTCGCAGAATGTGTGCATTTTCTCTTTTCAAGAATAAGGGCATATTGTAGAGAATTTGTTTAGTTTCAATTTAAGCCTAAGTTTGTTTGTTTGCGTAGTATGTTAGCGGCTAAAATGTTCGTTATCCAAACACGAAATTGGCTACTAAAATGAGTAAATTCTTCAGCACTTTTTACCGAAATGGCATGTGATAAAGACCAAACATACTTGCAGGTTCGGTGAATCCGGGGTTACCTCGGGTGGCTGGAAGTTTCCCGAACCCACTTCGCTTCGCTCGGTGAGTTCGGGAAACTTCTAGCCACCCTCGGTGTGTCCAATCCCGACTCACCTCCCTGCAAGTACAGTATGCTTGTTATAAACACAGCAGTGAAAAATACTACATACACTGGAACCTCATGTATATTCATACCGTGCGTCATAATCCTGCCACATGGACGGCAACCTGACGACGACTCTTTCTTGCCCTGACCTTTCAGGAAGTAATTTTCTATCAAACAATGCAGGTGATACTTCAGGTGACATTTTTGAATGACTGGCAGGTTTTACATCACTAGCGCTGTCATCTCTCTGGGATATTGAATGAACATTGCCTTCGCCTGTCCATGAAACAAATTATAGATATTTTTAACATATATAGGAAATTTAGGTAGGTAGGGTAGGAAGGTAGATAAGTAAATAGATAGGGTACAACTTAGCTGAATGACGCACCTCCTCAATTACAAATAAAGTAAATTGAATCAGAATAAATTGAAAATTTTATGTTGTCAGAATTTTATGTTTGAACATACCAACAAAAGCCATCCATGAACATGACATGAAACCTCGGGAAATTTTCTACGCCCTATGTGCAAAAAGGTCATAGTTACCTTGCTTACTACGCCGATGAGGTGAAGTTGTTTGATTTCGACCAATAAAAACGCTCGCTCGCTGTAAATCGTCATGGACATATTTGTCAGAAGCACAAGGCATCGGTGAAGTTTGGTTCTCATTTCCCAACGTGTTTGTTACGACAGGATTGTAATACGTGAACACTCCCGATGTAGAAGTATTGCCTGGCGTTGTTAAGTCGCTAATATTATCGGACGATTTTCGTTCAGAGAGGGGTCGCTGGTAGTTTACAGGGAAGTTCTCAGCACCATCTACCGTGCAAGTCTCAAACTGGAGTGGCTGATTGTGCACAGGAGAAGTCTCGATGGTATGTGGCACTGAGTCTTGGTTAGGAGGGGTCTCGACGTTATGTGGTACTGAGTCTTGGTTATTTACAGAATTCGAAGTGTTTCCTGTCTTCTGTTGCTCATCAAACTGTGGAGTTATGCTTGAGGGTCCAGTGATCTGGCTGTTTTGAGAGCTACCTATGTTTGAGGCTACACTACCAGAAGGGGGTGTGGTTTTATTTTGCAGAGAAGTTCTTGCTGTTGTTTCTTGAACAACCGTGTTGTTCGTTGCTGGATTGATTTTAACCGAATTATCATGATTTTGTTCGGATAACTATACATGAAAAGAAATAAATAGTAAAATTAGCAAATAGCAACCAACAAGTAAAACAGGATTAATACAGTATACAGCCTTCATGCATACCAGTTCAGAAAAAAAAAACAAGTGTACCTTACTAAAACCATCTTCACTCGCAGATAGATATTCAAAGTTATCACGGATACCATGACTACGGACAACATCTTGCAACGGTCTTTGTGAATTACCAGTTTCACTAGTTTGTCGGTCATAAAGAAAAGCCATGTCACTTGAAAGTGTCTCATATTCACGACTCTTCAACACAGCGTATATTTCACGCTAAAATATTAACAATATTTAAAATTGATTGTCCTTGCAAGGAAAAGTATAGCCTCACAGGCTAGATTCAGTACGTTTTTCAAAACCACCATGCTTTTTAGTACAATGGAACCTCTCTCTAAATGCGACACAACTCTAAGTACAGACACCTCTCTAAGTACAGACAACAGGCTAATACAGACATCCTCTCTAAATACGGACACCCCCTTGAATACGCACACCTCTCTAAATACGGATACCTCTCTAAATACCGACACCTCTCAAAATACGCACACCTCTCTAAATACGGACACCAGTTTAAATACGGACGCCTCTCTAAATACGTACACCTCTCTAAATAAAGACACCTCTCTAAATACAGGCAACTCAGACACCTCTCTAAATACGCACACCTCGAGCTCTCTAAATACAGACACCTCTCTAAATACGAACACCTCTCTAAATACGTACACCTCTCTAAATATAAACACCTCTCTAAAAACGGACACATTTCTAAATATGCACACCTCTCTAAGTACAGACACCAGTCTAACACAGACACCTATGTAAATACGGACACATCTCCAATAGGGAGACTTTGTCTCTTTGCTGTCCGTATTATCGCCTATATGTCTAATAATTAACTGGGAAAATGTTCACTCTTTTTATGCAAACAAACGCTTCGTTTCGAGAAAAGAACAAAACCGCGTCATGCACTGACCATAATTTTGTGTCCTAGGCAACGTAATTTTACCCCATTTGTGTAGAATACATATGTGTTCCCCGTGAATTATCTGATTACTGCACAAATAATTTTTTGTGGTATTTGCTCTATGACCGTGCAGGTGAGCAAAGCAAGCGTTCAAATTCCTTCTGCAGCTCTGAACCATCGTTTTTGCCGAGGATGCTGTGCACAAGTCCTGCGGAATGGCGGTGGCAGAGAAATGGCTTATGAAAACCAGTGTGGACAACTTTGCCATAAGCCCAATAAACCTGCTATTTATCGTTCCTGTAAAGGGCATCTAGAGAATTGTGCAAGTACACGAAAGAAAATCTTCAGTGTATAGCTCTGTGTGCCTGTGGTGGAACGTGTATATCTGTGGTGGAACGTGTCACAACTACTATTAGATGACAATATTACAATATTAGTAAGGACTAAATGCAAAAGACGCGTCATGCCAGCCCTGTAACGCATACATCTACATCCCTGATAACAAAATACAAACGTAATGATGCTACAGTATATAATTTTATTCGACAAACTATACTGAATAGATTGTGATATTCTTCGCCATGCAGTAACCCAAGCATCTGATGATTTTAAAATGATATGACAAGCTAAACAAAGGCAGTGCAATACCTTAATTAATTTTATTCCTTCTTCGGTTCTTTCCTTTGATGTTTCCATCTCGTCTCTAAGTGTTCTATTTTCATCTTGCAAACAGATAACTTCCTATCATGGAGCAAAGAGAAAGCAATTAATGAGAAAGAAGAAAACGTGTCCTGGTATTTACCTAAAATTTGGCAAATGTGAAATGTTGGTGTTGAAAATTTGGGTTCTCAACAAAGTAACACTGTTATTGCTGGAAATTTCGCTCCCTTTTGCTTCAAATGTAATTAAAAGGATATCACGCTTTCATAATTAAGAAATACCGTTACAAGTTATTATTTGTTTTAATTTAAAAGTTTTCTTTCAGAAGGTTGAAGAAAGTATTAGAGGGAGAAAGTGTCAGCCACATGTGCTACAGATGACTAGCGGTGGTATCACACAATTTCCGCTGTTCTAATAAACGAAATTACTGTACATCATACATACATGCAATGTGTGGCCACATGTCGCATTGGATGTGATGTACCCTTGGTTTCGCCTTGATCATGTATATCTGATAAAATACAGTCATTCATATTTTTCATCCCTGGTACCAACCAAGATGTTTGGTCAAGACCCTCAAGTCGAAAAAACATTGCCATCAAATAGATCAATAATTAATGGCAGGCACTTTTAACTGTAGTTGATGGTCTCGCATTGACACAAGCAGGTAAATTGTACATCTGTCACACGGGATCCGCACTTGTTTTATTATCTCGAATCTGATCGTATTCAAAAAGTGAAAGCAATAAAACGATATAACGGAAGAGAACTACACCATCTATTAAAAGTTAACTATTATTTAGCATGCGGTTTACCTCATAGAATAATGTATTAATCATAGAATAAAAGTCATTCAAAAGCCCTGCACAACAATCATATTATATCTTCTACAATTATTTGAGTGCTAGATTACAGTTCTTTCATAAAAAAATGTTTGGGAAAAGTTGGTTAGCGTAACAATAGGTTAACCTAAACTTAATGCAAACTTTCTAACAACTTGTTGATAAAATTAAAAACATTTCTTCGGAAATCTTGTCTGGATCAGTAGCAGTTTTCTTTTCTGAAGTTTTTAAATAAACTGACGTGGCACAACCAAAACAGGGGCTGGTTGTTCAAAGCACGATTAGCGCTAACACTGGTTTGAAATTTAGCCCATTGTTCTGGTTTAGTATTTCTGTACGTCTGCAGTTTATTTTAGAAAATTGAACTTCTGATGATCCAGACAAGATTTCTGAAGAATTTTAGGTTTATAAACAAGCTGCAATGCTGGGAAGTTTTCTTTGAATTTTACGTTAACCCATGCAGGATTAAGCTAACCCGTTTTGTAACAACTGACCCCAGCAGGTTAAATATTAACCCACGATTAACGCTAATCCAGCTTTGAACAATGGGCCCCTGCTGTTTTCCTTGTTTTCAATATAAGAATGATACATCTCATTTAGGGGCTCTAAGGGCTCTTCATCTGCAAGATTTGCATATAAAGCATGCAACTACAGTTCATCTAATAACGGCTGGATTAAAGCTCTTCCTTAAACAAATTGATTGTGCAAATATTTGACGTGTTCGTTAAACCTCCCTTGGGGAAAGAAATCTGCTCATGAGAACAATGTCACTGGCTGTTGTGGCAGACGGTTGACATACATGTGACCATAATCTAACATGGATGGTTTGGGTTCTTTTATCGGGAATTTGCAAGGATAGTTCACGATATTTCCGTTTATCTGATCCAGGATTTCTCGCCATTTATCCGTATTTTTACGAGGCAAAGGGATATCTTTATAACGCTTTAACTCTTCAAAATCTTCAACATTTTTTCCTGGAAACAAACCTGGGCCAAATGCTGCAAGAAAACCCATCGTATTATATTCTGCCCGAGCATAAACACCTACAATAAAATTCTGGGCCAACGGATCGTCGACACTTATTTCAAACCCGTCCTCGTTGTTGTCGACTAATCCTAAATGCTCCTTAAGAAGATCACATCTCAAACTATGAGCGAACTTTCCCATCATGTATTTCACTCCGTTCATTTTACCTTCAACGAAATCCAAATCTTCGATCATAACTGCGACTTCAGAATCTCGGTCCCCCAGCATACTGCGATCATTGATATTTGCAGATCCAATAATTGCCTTTCGATCATCAACGATCATGATTTTACTGTGCACATATACGATCTCAGTAACAAAATGTTCATCTATCAGGTCGTATGTACGTAAACTGAACACCGAGAAGTAGTTCATGGCAGTTTCTTTGGGAATGTTTTCTTTCTCAAGCTTACTAAACAAGGAGTCTTCTCCATGGTAGATAGTCGCTTGATTCCAAAATGTAACTGCCCGCAAAGCATCTCCGTTCCAATCATTGGCGTCCCAATCACCAGAGAACTCAGGTTTCAAAGGGGTGAACACCATAACATGAAAATCTTCCTTGGCATTGTGGGCGCGGACAATTCTTTCAACCAATGCTGCCTGGATCTTGTTTTGAACTTTTCTCCAGAAACCGTCTTGCGATGAAATGAAGAACTGATTTTCAATATAAATAAAGTGTTTAGCATTCTTTATCGCATCTATATAAGCATTATATATTGAAGCTTCATGTTTCTGACCAGCTGACCAGTTGTCCACGGATCTCAGCAGTTGAATATTCACGTTATAGCCACCGGAATTTAACACGATGTCTTCTGCTTTGCTTTTCTTGCTGGGAACAAGTTGCTTTACCAGATTAATGTTCTGAACGAACTGAAGAAATGAATCCCAATATGTCTGCCACCAAGGTTTAGTCAGAGCATATCTATCTGTGAAATGTTGTACAGCATCTTGTACAGCTTCACCAGTGAATGCACAGCTTACATCATGCCAAGGCATGCGAGGAATTTCGTTTCTTTCAACTCCAATGTAACCCTCCAATGGTTTTCCCCAGTCCATTTGATTCTCCTTGTTGTAAAACGTATTTCTGTAATCCTTGCCAACCCATCGAGCATGATTTCTAAGAGGATTGTCATCCAGAGCTTCGCTTTCATCCACAGAGAAATGTATGGGGAAATTATCCATCAATTCATGATTGCGAGTATCCCAGCGACCATAACAAAGATCAATGCCACCGACAAATACAATACTACGATCAACAATGACCATCTTTTCATGATGACTCCACCGAAATAAATTCTGCACTCCGCTAACGGTATCAGGATGGCGGTGAACCTCAATATTTTTATGCTTATCAAGCAGTTCCACAACGTGATCACTTCCAAGATCTAGCGCTTGTTTTATTTCCCAGTATAATAAAATATACACTCGAATACCTTCGTCAGCCTTTCTTAACAGCATCTTGTCCAGTCGCCAATCCAAACTATCAACACCAGAATCGGGTCTTTTCATGAAGATTTCAGGATTCATTTGCCAGTCAGTAATCATAATTTCTGTTTCGGCTGCCTCGATAGCGTCGGCCACAGCAGACATGTAGTCCTTGCCGTCAACAAACCACACAGCTTGACCACTTTTACGAACAGGGGCAAATGAGCCATGGCGATAGCGCTGAGAGTCATTGGATGGTTGAATATTGTAGGCTATCACCAGAACCAACATTGAAAGACATATTATATCGAACATGTTTGAATACAGAACTACAGAGTTTGACTTTATACAATGGCTCTTATCGGCCTATTAAACACAATTAACAGTATGTATGCTTATAATATACACCGGAAAAGAATGTGGGTTTTCCCCCTAATAAATTTAATTGGAAACCACAACACATGCACAAACGTCTCTGTTTAGTTCCACGAATATAGCATACGTAGAATAACAAATAAAATTTTGTCAGTTTTTTGCTTCATGAAACAGAAACAATCAAACAAACATTGAAAAGTGAAATGATAAACACTGTGTTGTCACCACTTCATATTTAAGTCAATACCAAGAAATCAATATTAATAGGGAATTACCCTGTACAAATATTTGAATTGGCGTTATGAGGAAAAGGTGACTACTGAAGTTTACAATTTCTTAAGTCCCATATTGAACCTGAAACTGTAACCTCCAAAATGATTAGGAGAATAACAAACTGAGTTTTTCTAATAATAGCTAATTTCGAGTATAATGCTAGCCTGACGTCACTACTGTTGGTCTACCAAACAAGCTTCATACAAAATAACAACAAAAATCTAAAGACTATTTGTTGAGCACGCTTGTATGCAACTGGCGTTCTATCACCATCTTATTTGCATCAATTACACGCAAACAAACACCGAACAGAACTTAGTTGTGAGAAGCTCAGGCCTTGGCATGTGCAATCAGTCTAATCACATAGCAGTAAATTCGCGTGACTACCATAGTAAATACTTAGAAAACAGATTCCATGAAACTGTTGATCCGTTTCCGTGGAATTTATACTCACTGTGAGTATAAAGGAATTTACAAGACAAAAAATCTTTCTTCCAACAAGGAGACCTTTGAAGGAAATGGCTAATACGCCCTGTTTATATACTATTCCGCGGCTAGGCGAAACACCACAGGCACAATTGCCAAGATCCCGATTGTAATATTAATATATTAAACTCTAATGAGTGTTTACAGTATATGTTTGCATCTTATTTCGTGATTCGGGCGTTTGTTGGCGCCGGAACAAGAAATTTCCATATAAGCATGCTACATATATACCGGCTAGGCGGGACGAATTATCTTCTGATCATGAGCACTTACACGCGTAAAAATTGATCAGGTTGTTCGACGTTGTTCATTGAACAATGCCTGAACAATGTTGTTATCATAGCTGAACAACGTTGTTCAAGCAACAATCGTTAACGACATTGTTCCAACAACTTGTTCACGCTTGATGGACGAACAATGGTTGTTGCAACATGATGGAACAAGCGTCAACGATGAAACATGTTGACATAAATGTTGTCAGAACAATGTTGTTCAGCGTTGTTCATTCATCAGGCGTTAACAACATTGTTCGAACAAGCGTGAACAATATTGTTTTCAAACAAGCCTTGTTGACAGGGTGCAGCACAACATTGCTGCAACCTGTTCTGAACAACCGTGAACAAGTTGTTGACAACCTGCGACAACATGATAATTTTTACGTGTGTACACGCGTAAAAACTGAGAAAATCAACAACTTGTTGCAAGTTGATATCGACAGGCGTGAACAAGGTTGTGCGATATGAACAGTATTGTCAACATGTTGTTGCAGCATTGTTCAACTGTAACAACTTGGAACGACATGGTTGACAACTTGTTCATAGTTGGCCGCACAACATTGTTCACGCCTGTCGATATCAACTTGCAACAACCTGTGCGTTTTTAGCCGTGTACTAGATGACTTCATCCCAGCAATGTTTTAATACTCCATGTAAGCTCCAGCCATGTAAACACTCCATTCCGCCAGGGCTCGAAATAACGGCCGATCAACGATCAATGATCGGCAGGAAATTGTTTTTGATCGGTGAAGAATCAACGTTGCCGTTCACCTTGATCGGCAAGAAATATATTTGAGCATTGTCTGAAAGACATGCTTACCTGTACACGGTAAAAGACAAATAAAAGTAATATAAAACACATTTGAAAACACGCGAAAAGCTCTTGTATAGTTGATACGAGTCATACGACAGGAAAGGCAGCAATACTATTCTCGCTCTAAAGTAATTAATTTACTTTTATTAAAACAAATTTACACGAAATGTTGTCGTCTTTTCAACAGTACAGTCTGCAATCCGAACCGCTGACGACGAACGTATCTTTGTATAATAATTTCAAATTGATAGGATTTTTTTAGTAGGATTTTCTCTTTTAATATAAAATAATAAGTTTTAGTTCTTAATTGATAATGCTGCTCTGTTTCTTGCTTTTGTGTGAAAAAATGCAGTGGTATAATTAAAACTTGAAAAGTGTTATAATAAAATAAAGTTTATTAAGCACTAGTTAAATATAGTTACACTATTAGTAGTGTATAAGTCCACAAATGTCATAGATTTAAACTTCAATTTGAAATAAAGTTAAACTTCAAATGCGTATTCAATGCCCACTGGCATATTTAGAATTTTTTGAAGGAAATGAGGGCAATTGCTCCTGATCGGACAGATTTTTATTTGATCGGCAAAAAGTCCTCATTGCCGATCACCATGATCGGGAACGTTGCGAACGTTATTTCGAGCCCTGCATTCCGCCTATACTGTAGGTGAGTTCCCCATCTTGGCGGGACGAAAACGCCCCGTTCCAACTACAGTAGCCCGCATGGATCATATAAACAGGCCCCAGCTAGAAGGTGGTGGGAAATCCGAAATAAAATATATAATCCAAACTTCGTATGTTATTTGTTCCAAACAAAATATAAGATAACAAAATATAGAGTAAATAAAACGTCAATATTGAACTTACATTTGTCAGTGCATCAATCAACATCTGCTGCTGTTGCAGTGTAAGGAATATGTCCTGTTTTAAATTTAAGTCTGTTTTTCGTTGATTTTCACACTGCATGAGAAATAAATAAATGTTATATTACTCAAAAATTAAGTTTGTCCATACCGGAATTCTCTATTAGGCCAACTATGAGGGAGGGCTTATTTATATCCGGCACGTTTGAGACAGTTGGAGAGAATGGTTTAATAGATCGAGAGATTAAGGCTTACAGTACCAAAACGCAGATCTTATTGGTACGCAATCATGCATTTTCTTGATGGAAATGCAATAAATTCATTCCTTTAAAAACGGGATTATTATTAGTGAAGGGGACGTATTTGGAGACGGCTGGGTCAAATATGAGTTTTGGTAAAAGAAAACATTTCACCAAGTGTTTTATTTATACCAAAAATGGCCGGTCATGCACACTACACAACGATAACGATACAATAACTTGTAAACACGCGATGATTGGCAAAAAGGTTATGTTAGTGTCCACACTACAACGAAAATGATAAAAACGATAACGATTTTATAACGATATATGTTTGACCAATCAGAGCGCGTATACAAGTTATAGTATCGTTATCGTTGTGTGGTGTGATTTGTTTGCATGCTATCCCATTCACGTGCCTCGACACATGTATAGCCTAATTACTACTTTTCATTTTACAAACACATTATAACTACGCCACAGAATGGTATATGAAAATAAGTTATTCAGTCATGACGATACATACAGAACACTCGTTCTTCTATGCAGGAAAGGGACAGTGCATGCATCAGAATAAGAATCGTGTGTCTGCAACTAGCATGATACAAAAGTCTTTAACTTACGTCTCTTAAATATCCAACTAGTTTCGTAATAGCATGCAAGATAGATACTGTGAAACCTCCAAACGATTCTTTTTCCTTCTAAAACAAAAAATAGTCAAAATTGCAGATTCATAGTTATTAGTACTTGACTGAAAACAAACTAATACCAGGCCGCAATGTTGACGTACATGTACCTCCGGTACGTAAGTATGCGATTTATCGCACCCTGTTAGAGTCATAAGCTGACCAGGGCGTTGAAATGAGTCATAATTATCGCCAACACCCAACTTCCCACTCAAAGTGTGTTTGGTTATTCAGCTATTACATTTGCATGTTTATGCCATACCAGTGAATAATAATTTATAGCTTTTTTAGGTACAACGAACTCTTGTTATCCGCGTACTTGCTTTTTACTGGTATCATATAATTCCAAGATCAAGGTATTCAAAACCGTAATGAAGCAGGTACTGTAGATGTGTAAGCAGATTCTGAAGTAACGGTCGGCGGGCCGCGGTTTTACGACCAAATTCCAGTTTTTCCAAGCAAATGCTAAATTGATCGGAAATTTTGTCCGGACAAATTTGAAAAAATTTCCGTCAGTTAAAGCTGGTTTGCACTATCAAAGTTTCTTCGATCAGAGCATGCTTTAAAAGCAAAGTTTAGTTACTGTAAGTGTGTGACAGTGAGTTAGGAGTGACTGTAACTTGAATGTCGGGCCTATCAGAGTGACTGCTTTCATAGACAGAATTTCAACGGGGCAGTATGATCAAAATTTTTATTCTCTTAAACCAAAGCTAAAACGAAAGTGCTCGTAAATCTGTATAATAACTTGAAGATTTTTGTTCTCATGCTTAGTTCTTGAGATACTTCTTTTGTTTGTAACCATGAGACGTCATTTACTCAATTACATATATAATGAGATGTCAGTAATTGTTGTGTATCTTTGCTATTTTTGATGATTTATGCTTAATGATGCAGGTTAAATTAACGAACGCGCCGCATCTTTCGAAATATTTTGATAAAAATAGCAAACATACACAACAATTACTGATATCTCATTATTTATGTAATTGAGTAAATGACGTCACATGGTTACAAACAAAATGAAATATCACTTTCGTTTAAGAAAATAAAAATTTTGATCATACTGCCCCGTTAATTAAAAAGCCATCAACGGAAGGGGTCAAACTAAAATCGAAAAAACATTTCCGATCAAGTTTCATTTTTGTCGGAAATTTTGTCCAGACAAATTTTGAAATTATTTCAGGCTCTTCTGACATGTCGTGAGATGGCATGAAACATGATTGGACTCAATTGCAATATTTGTGTATGCAATCATTATGCTCTTTGTTCTAACTCGTAGTTCCAGGTTACTGAATGGATACCCTTCGCAAAGGTGTATTTTAATAATATGTACTTCATCTCAAAGACTATAAGTACACCTTCAGTATTAAATTAATACTACAACGGATACTTGCTGCGTACATGAGCTGGTATACGCTCAAGTACGCAGCAAGTATCCATTGTAGTATACCAGTCACGTACGACTAAAAATAGTCGACGTATAACAAAGCAATATAGAAAGGTATCGGTTCCTATGAAATCTTGATGGTTTCATTCCTACTTTACTTTTAGAGACGGATGATCCAGTTGGACGAACTTGAACAAAGAAAATATATCTGTGTATACGTAGATCGTCTGATAATTCGTCTGTTGTATAAATTGGGTCGTCTGTCTACTCAGACAAACTTGTGCAGATATTTCGTCTGTTGGTCAATGATCTGTATATTGAGTATACATTATAGAATGATGCACCTTGACGCATGCTCTATATCTGTAGCGTAAATCAGCTCAAAAGATACAAACAACCAAGCCAGTTAAACCATTGTGGTCAGTCAGTATAACAACTCTCCAGTTTCTAGGCCAGCGACGAGTATCAACAATCTAGTCTTAAATCCGTCTTTCCAGCCATGGCGTTGCCCATCAAGATACTGGGAGATTTCCAGGTGAGCCTCATACACTATTCGCATAAGAAATGGCTCCCAGAAACCCTTACTATTTCAAGGTTGGTTTTTACGTATCTATTTCCCGGCCTTTGCTAGAGAGCCACGCCCTCTCCCTACTTCTTTCTCGATATTTAACCAAATTAACCCTACATACCCACCGTAACAAAAGACATGGAGGTTTGTTCTCTACCAGTTTCCTGCTCAAACATTCTTACTTCGTCTTCAAGATTATCAATCATCTATTCAGAACAGAATGGAAAATTTCACAGATCGCGACACAATAAACAACTTTCGTTTGCATTATAATTAGAAGTGATTTGACCAATTCAGTCATAAACAGATTGTTTGTTTACCTAGTAGCAAACATGAGATTTGTTATGACATGTGGTCTGAATTGGTCATTCCACATCTAATTGTCATGCAAGCAAAAGATGACTACGTATTGAACAACATATTTTGATATCGAGCGAAGGAGTTCGCATTTTGATATCTGATACAGGGTGTATAGTAACGAATATGCAATGACGAGATAATCAGTGTAAATACAGTAACTATATACCGGGTGTCTCAAAAAAAAGTATCGGTGTTTGATTTAACATAATGTAAAAACTATACCAGGTATGGCTTTCAAATAAGTTTATAGTATTAAGAAAATGCTAAGGCTTGGTAAAATTTTGGTATGCAGTGCTAGATCTTTCATTTCATATTGGGCGAGATATACATGTTTTTAGCCAAAGTTCGGTTTGAACGGCTTATTAAATTTCTTTGAAGACATTAGCTATTTTTTCGGAAGTATTGAAAATTTTAAAGAAGTTAGCTTCAATCTTGTATTATTTTATGGTTTACATAAGATATTTTGACCTTTGGGCCTTGTGGGAAATGAAAAATTCGAATGCGAAAGTTCGAATTGAAGCAACAAATCTGGAACGTCCCACATGAGCAGCAGCCTAGGAATTTGAGACAGCTCCGCCAGGCAGTTATCTTAGCGTGCCAAAGTTTAGATGCACAAATGATACAAAGCGCTTTTTCTGGCATGGTTAACAGACGTTGTATAGGTGTTCAAGTTTTTCAGATGAATAAATCATCGAATGTGTAAATATTATTTATCGTGCGTTGTGTTGACAAGAACAATGTTAAATTAAATGTTAATTTGATAGGCCAATTTAATGTAATTTTAAGCATTTTCAAAATTGCTTCTTCAAAATTAAACTGTTATATAGTATTTCATTCAATATTGCTCAAATATCTTCATTAAGTCATATTTCAAAATTTAAGTTAGGCCTTTCTGAATTCAGTGAAGTCTATTTGATTAAAACTCCTTGTCCAGTTTTAACGGTATAACAAGTCAAACACCCAGGCCTCGAATTTAGCGGCGGCCACTGGCCGTCGATGCCCTGCTTGTTGGCCGCTTTGCCCTCGAAATATACTGAAATCCACGGCCAGTAGTGGCCTGCCCTCAACCACAGAGTACAGTATATACTTAAGCTTTAGAATACCAAGTGTATGATTTATAAAATTGGCAATAATCACTTATGTATTGTACATTTCTAATAGTTATAGTTTAAGTCAAGAGGCAATTTTTTTCAATGTCACGTATTTGCGCAAAACTTGAGAAAACTTACTGAATTTCAGACATCATTTTCTCTTTGGCGTATCATCTAAAATATCTTCATTTTAGCATTATTTTACAGATAAAACACTAAACGTACTTTTTAAGTTTGTTTGCCGATTGAAAAACGTAAGGAAAAATAAAAATTTTGAATTTAGTCATAACCTCAAGTGGTATATTATACGCATTAGTTTTGAGTGAGTATTATTTAACATACAAAAAAATCTCTTAATACTGTAGGTAGTTACGATACATGTGCAGACTATGATATGAATAGTTTCATTTGGCATTTTTTAAAATATTGCTGCTGTTCTGTATCTTTCTGTTTTCTCATTGAAGCTCAAACGTTAGTTGAAACTTCAAAATAGCAACTGAATAAAATTTTCAAACTGGCCTTGATACCCTGTATACTAAGTGCCTTGATGCCCTGAAAAACTTAGTAACATTCAAGGCCAAACTGGCCTTGCCTTTACTTTTCCCAAATTCGAGGCCTGAAACACCGATACTTTTTTTTGAGACACCCGGTGTATATATATATATATATATATATATATATATATATATATATATATATATATATATATATATATATATATATATATATATATATATATATATATATATATATATATATATATATAGAATTACGTTTCGTTGTTTGATACAAAAACATTTGGCAGAGTGCTCAATGGATATCCAGAGCATAATTAAATAAGTGCAACGACTCAACAAATTCCACTAGGCATCTTTATTACTATTAGTTTCGTACCACAAGATGTGGCACTCATCAGATAAATTGGCCTTATGACTACAGCAGAAAACCTACAGTATTTATGTACGAAACTAATAGTAATAAAGATGCCTAGTGGAATTTGTTGAGTCGTTGCACTTATTTTATATATATATATATATATATATATATATATATATATATATATATATATATATATATATATATATATATATATATATATATATATATGTAGATGTAGACCAAACCGGGCAAGCAGAAAACTACTTGACCGCGGCTGGGATTCGAACCCGCGACCTTCGTATTTCCAGAACGATGCTCTACCGTCTGAGCTACAAGGTCAAGCTGAGAACGACGTGTTAAGTTATGATGTTAGTCGCATTTCGGAGGTTAGTCCTTCAATGCGTAAAGCCAGCTATTAGTCTGGCAATGTTGTATGTGAATGTTGTGGTTTCCCACGTTGACGATTCCACTCGTGTTACGTTATGTAGCGGTTTTTGAGTTGTTTTCAGACGAGTGTATACCAAACCGGGCAAGCAGAAAACTACTTGACCGCGGCTGGGATTCGAACCCGCGACCTTCGTATTTCTAGAACGATGCTCTTTTTCTACATATGGCCCTGACTCGAGCAGTTTTAAATCTCTTCGAAACCAAGTAAATCGAGAAAGGAAAATCTGTAAATCAAACTATTATAAACTCCGTGTACATCAAATGAAACAAACAGACTCCAAGGAATGGTGGAAAGAAGTAAAGCGTTTAAGTGGAATGGCATCTACTAGATCTAGTGATATTAGAAATATAATAGATATTGAAAACCTCGAACAATTATCTGAGCAAGAATTAGCTAACAAGATCAATGAAGCTTTCTTGGATCCCTTATCTGTATATAAACTGCCCAGCCCCTTCTTCCTTTCGAGCTAGAAGTTAACAACCCTGAGTTTTTAGTAGTCACTGAAGAAACAGTGTATTCATATTTATCAAAGCTGAACCCTACAAAAACTTGTGGTGCTGATGAAATATCAAATTGGCTTCTTCGTGATTATGCAGCTATATTAGCGTTCCCAATTAGTACCATCTTAAATGCTTCCTTCAAGCAACAACGACTTCCATCGATGTGGAAACTAGCCAATGTTTTACCTATACCTAAATCTAAGACAGTTCAAATCTTAGAAAAAGATCTCAGACCTATCTCACTGACCCCGAGCATATCCAAAGTAGCTGAAGAATGTGTGGTAAATAGATATATCAAACCTGCTGTTCTGAAATCCATCGACTCAAATCAATTTGGTTCTATTCCTAATTCTTCAACCACTTTTGCTTTAATAGACATGTTACATCACTGGACCTCAATGCTGGACGGAACAGGAGCAACTATCCGAGTGTTTCTATTTGACTATAAAAAGGCATTCGATTTCATCGATCACAGTATCCTAAGGATCAAGTTAGGTGCTTTAGATTTACCAACTAGTATCATCAACTGGATTATCGACTTTTTATCGGATAGATATCAAAGGGTTAAGCTGTCAAATAGTTGCCTTTCTGAATGGGGCCAAGTACCGGCTGGTGTTCCTCAAGGAACCAAATTAGGCCCTTGGCTCTTCTTAATAATGATTAATGATTTGAAGAAACATAGTGAGAACTTATGGAAATACGTTGACGATACCACGGCGTCGGAAGTTGTATTGCAAGGCGAGCACAGTGAAGCTCAACTGATTGCAAATGAAATTTTAGATTGGTCCAATATCAATAGAATGCAATTAAATGCTGATAAATGTAAGGAGATACGAATTTCTTTTGCACGGAATCAACCCGAGCTTAACCCAATTTCAATTGAGAATCAATTCATAGAAGTTGTATCCGATTTTAAAGTGCTAGGTCTTAACATTAGCAACAACCTTACGTGGAATAAACATATCACTGAATTAGTCAAGAAAGCCTCCAAAAGGATATATTTCCTTATTCAACTTAAGAGAGCAAAAATCCCAATACAAGAACTAATCACATTTTACATAACCTGTATAAGATCTGTGTTGGACGATGCTGTCCCGGTTTTCCACTACAGCCTACCCAAGTATTTAAGTCAAGATTTGGAACGAGTCCAGAAACGCGTATTTGGAATTATTTATCCCCATTTGAAATATGAGGAAGCTTTAAATCTCAGTGGAATTGAACATCTTTCCACTCACCATCAAAACAGCTGCAAGAAATTGTTTAATGCAATTATCAAAGATTCTAATCACAGTCTACATTACCTCTTGCCGCCAAGGCATAACTCCATCCACGACCTGAGATCTATTAGATCTTTTGACGTTCCACTTTGTAAAACCAATCGGTTTAGTAATAGTTTTATTATGGCATCGAGTAGCAAAACTGAATAGGTTTTACTCTTCATTTACCTATTTTATATTCTTAATAACTTTTGCATGCTTATTATAAACAGACACTTTTGACAATTTAGTTAATTAATTATAATACTTTGATATATTTCAAAACTCTAATTTTTAATAATTTTTAATTGTAAGTATAATACGCTATTCAGCTCATGGCTGCAATGTATTTACCATTTCTAAATAAAGTATAAAGTATACAGTATTAGTATAAATTTTGCATATCAAATGAGCTTTCGCGCGTTCTGATTGGTTAGTTGACTAGTAAATCTGACGCATTATTTACCATGCAGCAGACTAGTAAATAATGCTTTTCAAAAAGAATGATTCGGCAAATTTGGTTTTAAAATCGACGAAATATTGAAGAAATCGTCCCCAGAAAACGAAAGAAACACAAAATGTTGTATTTAACTTGAAAGGTAGGATTCCTTTATTATTTTACTGTGTCAAACATATTCACGAACAATTTAAAACTTATTTAAAACTCAGGAACATTCACTTCAAACAAATAGCAAAAACTATCCTGACTGTTGGGAAAAACCTAGACTTTCGCAAAGTCCCTCGCCTTTAATACGTCCTTATTTATGCGAATGAATTTTTGAAAGTAATATGATATGCGCGACCCTGGAGGTCGACTTGGAGCAAGTCTAGGAAAAACCTTGCCGTGATATTCTTTTAAAACCATTTTGTTTTGTATGCTATAGATATCACAATTTGTATGATACTATTTCTTTTGATATGTCATGTTCTCATTATGCTGTATGGTGTCCTTACGCTTTATTGTGATTTCGAAACTTGTGAAGTGAAAAGTGTATTAAAACGTACTTTATTTCGAGGCATTCGAGCAATAGTTTTACATTCCATTTTACCAATTTTCTCAGCCATTTCCTGAACAAATTAAAGTCTGGTGAAAGAGTCATCCCATCATTGTGTTTATATTCTAAGCAGAAATCGAGAGAAACAATTTTGTAACGAAGCAAGAAAGTCACACATGCAGGAAGCCATTTTGAAAGCGTGCGTGTACAATAAACTCTGCAACACTAAAACAATAACCGTGAACTGGCCGAAAACAGTTTTATTTCTGAATTTTAATTAGACGTTTACTTGGATATTTTGTTTTATTCATTAAAAATTTAATACTAAAACAATTGCATGTTTTGATGTAAATATGCCAAGGACTTGGAAAACGTTTTGCTCTAAATGTCGTTCTTATTTTATGTCTTGTTGTTCGTAGAAGTGCATGTTCTGAGTTTTTGTACGAATGTAATTATGTGTAATACCGTAAATATGTAACTAGCTATGTATTTTGTTAATTTTATAACCGTTTATAGTATAGTATAGTATAGTATAGTATAGTATAGTATAGTATAGTATAGTATAGTATAGTATAGTATAGTATAGTATAGTATAGTATAGTATAGTGTAGTGTAGTGTAGTGTAGTGTAGCGTAGCGTAGCGTAGCGTAGCGTAGCGTAGCGTAGCGTAGCGCAACCTCGTTCCCAGGATCTCTCCTTCTGTCATCTGGGTACGAGGTTGAGCGTAGCGTAGCGTAGCGTAGTCTAGCGTAGTATAGCGTAGTATTTTCATGTATGGCAGAACTTAATTTGGGACTTTATTAGTCCTGTTGTCTGTGCCTTCAATTTCTTATTGTAAAACTAATAAAAAAAATTTAAAAAATATTCGCCTCAGGCTCAGCGACTACGGTGAGTATTCACTGGTAATCACTTCGCCTTCGGCGAATAATTGTTAAGTAGTAAATATAATACCATTTGTTTGAAGTGTAAATAATACTTTAGTTAGTTAGATTTAATTGCTGCCGAAGGCAGCACACTATTCTTAACATGAAGTATCGCGTTTACTTGTGTCCAGTCTCTTTGTCCGAGCTATGTATTGTCGAGATCTCGTTTTTGTGTCTGTCTTTCTGTATGTATGTAAAGATGTCGTAATTCCGGGAAAATAATAAAGGCTTCAGGAAGTTTTTTTAAACGAGGGGGGCGGTCAAACTTTATTTTGTATCGCACACGGATCAAGTTCTTCTCAAGTTCTCAAGGACAGTTATGCACCAGTCAAAGTAGACCCCGACCACTGATCTAATAGATCAGTGACTCCGACCCCCCTCACCCCGGGATATAGGTGGGGATTGGTTTTGAATACCGTACCAAAACAGACAAATGCCCCACAATATGGGACAAAATTTTCTAGCAAAAGACAAAAAATACCCCACCCCCGGGCGGGAATTGTAAGTTGTGTGAGTGAATTTATCTCCTGCATAATATCTCCTCGACAATCTCCGGACCGCCGCATAAACCGTCACATTTTAAAATATTAATATTTTGTTCCAAAACTCAAAAGAACGATAAAAACATATTAATATAAACAAACAAATGTTGAGCTTTCCACAACAATAGATTCCATGGATGGATGGACATATTAACCGGTATTAACATATAGATTGAAAAGAAATTAAATTAATATATTTATAAAATTCCTCGCGATTTCATTTCCTTACGAGCACGCCAAGTTAATAAAAAAATGGTAGAACCTGGGGATTCCATTGGACAAAACGGTACAAAATAGTACAAAATGGCCGCAGACAATCCCCTAACAATTCCCATTATCTCCCGGCATAATTCGATTCATAATTCATAATACTTTGACTGGTGCATTATGAGCTTATTTTCATGATGCAAACATGGACAATATTTTCAATAATTCAGGTAAGGATAGTTTTATTTCGTTTTGGTAATATACATGAAGGCATTTATATTTAGAACAGTATGTCATGATTGAATTTAGAATCAGCATGCATTTATCATGCATTTCAGAATTTACCCTGCACTTAGTGATCGTCTTTATAGTTTAATAATATACAATAGAAGTAGTCAAAATCTACTTTTCGTTTATTTGTTTGTGTGGTGATTTCCAAAGGCGATGAGTTTATAGTGTTTATTCTACATGTTTATAGCAATGTGCTTCTGCCATTTCAGCACGTTTTAAAAACAAACGTGGAATGTTGTGTGGCAGGGCTTAAATTAATATTATAAAGATATTCCTATAGCAATCCAGTGTGGATTGTTGTGCATATCGCAATCCAGTGTGGATTTTCATTTTATAAAAGGAGGGGTGGCCAAACATTTTCTAGTGAGGTGCAAGCAGCACCACTGAGCTTTGGCAGGGGTTAGGGTTAAAGGCTTTCACACAAAGTAGGAGGGGTGAAGTGAAATTTTGGTGGGGTTGAACACTTTATAACACCTCAGGGTGTTATACTCAGTACTGATAAATCTGCCCATGGTTGTCTGCACATATTAACTTACCAGCAGTTACATGTAATAGCATGTCAACCGACTTTTGTACAAGGTATGACGGTTTGTAAAAATATATCTCTGAGATATGTCCATTGTCCGCATAATAAGGAGTAATCCTACCGGCCCACTACATAATACATTCATATATTTACCTGGCTGTGTCACTACATTTCAGGGTATACTATATTTTTTCTATAATGCTCACAATTTCTTTCTTAGGGACTGGTCATAAAGTAAAAGGGAGGGTGGGCTGGGAAAAATAGGGGGTGGGTCACTATTTATGAGCACAGTTGAAGGGGTGGGTCATCGAAGGTTAAGGGGTGGGTCATCGAAAATCCTAGTTTAATTTTTCCAAGCAAAGATATTCCAAAGAGACCACCCTATCTTGCTCTTCAGTCGGACACTGAGAAGACGAATACGTCGACGTCTTTTCAAGTACCCCAATACATGTAATACAGTACTGTAGAATTTGAAGTTTCATGAATGATAATACTATACCACACACACACACACACACATTTTAATTACCGCATCATCACACCATGTTGCCTTGTTGGGACTGAATTACATTTGGGAGACTGTGAAATTGTACTAATTGTGTCACTGTTTATAAGGTTAATTTCTTGTTGGAAAACTCCTCAAAATGTGGGAAATAGCTTATATGAGCTTCACGAAATCCAAAATTTTCTGGGGGCATGCCCCCAAAACCTTCTAGAAGCTCGCACCTTTGGCGGTCGACTCGGTTGTCTCAGAATCCTAGTTACAGCCTGATCTGCTGCCCAATGACGTATACTTATTGGTTAAACCATGCACATATATGCTGATAGCTGCAGTGATACAGACTTGCCGACTGGAATTTCTTCAGGTCGCCCGCTAAATATATCCCCTCCATGCAGTTACACATCCTTAAAGAGGCCCTGAATTTTAATTGCACCATTTGAATAGCTATTGAGTATTGTAACATAATTATTTGGCAACAGGGTGGGTCATAATTTTTCAGCACCAATTTAAGGGTGGGCCACAAATTTTCGTGCAGCAATAAAGGGTGGGCTACCAAAAGTGGAGACACCAAATATATGATTTTCCCACCCCACCCCCCTTTTACTTTATGACCGGTCCCTTATTATATAGTTTTGAAGTTCTGACTCAGTACAATCTTAATCATTACAAATGAATGATGCCATCTGAAGCTGATGTATTAAATTAAACAAAAATGACAGTTGTTCTGTGATAGGTGTAGTTTTGTATTATAGTATTATAAAGGTGTTCTCCGAAAAAAAAATTTTCCGGAACTTTTTTTTAGATAGGAGCCCCTATTTGCCCCGGGCCCCCGCCAACCTCTCGGCGGCCCTGGTCATGCTATGCCCTCTCTGCTGTGCCTGTGCTGATAATCTATTTGAATGATACAAATCATTAAAAACTTGCATAGCATGACTTGTTGCTATGGCTAGCTTCAAAAGCAAGAAGTTATAAGCATTGGAGACATTGGAGGTATTCGTATAAAACCACAGGTGGCCAAGCTCTGTGGGGTATTTATTTATTTTTTAATTTAATTATACTTTGCATTACAAATTTACTTTAAATTATAAAGTATAACTTACTTAGTTTCCTTTATGTATTCTTTATGTATTTGGGGGTGGTTTTAGTTTGATATGATGATATAAAAACATCATGAGAGTAATGGCAAAGCGGGATCATATAAACAGCCCTTTATTCAGGCAAATTGTACATGCTGCCTTTGACCCCTTGGGAGTGAGGCAGCACTTTCCTTGCGATAATAACTTCTAGTAGTATTAGTTTATAAGTAGGAAAACAGTGGAAAATAAATTTTGTGTTTGCGGAAGGAACATTAAATTATTTGGAAATTCCGGGCGTAAGCCCGGGACGAGGGTACTAATTCCGCCCGGCTATTTACACCCGGGGAAAGGAAAGCATTAGTGCTCTCTGTTAATCGCGATAGGGTGCTGAACAAAAATAACGCGGGCAAAGACGAAAATTTCTTTTTCGTTTTCGCCCGTGTTATTTTTGTTCGGCACCCTATCGCGATTAACTTGGAGAACTATCCGAAGATAACCGAAGAACATTATAAATAGAATAGATACATGGTGTATGGATGGACCTCCTCACTGATCTCAAAAATGTAGCTGCTTGCCAGGAGTGGGATAAGCAAGATTCAGGTATGCAATTTGCAAAGACATATATTTGGAAAATCGTTTCATATACAACGAGCTTTGAAGCAATTTTTGTTTGAAGAAACGAGAAGAATTGAGTTACTATGAGAGATCGTGAAATATATGGCAAGTTTACTCTGAATGTTGATGAATTTTGTTACTACTTTTTGCGTATAAAAACTTTCACTGTTTTCCTTTCCAATGTAGCTGTAAAATTAGCCTGTTTAATTTAAAACTAATTACTGAAATTATTCAATAATTTGAACTTATTTTGTTTTATTAAGATAAAAAGTGTTTATCGGCAAAAGCAGTTTAGTTTATATAACACAACGCATCCAGACATACACGAACAGTGTAATGGTGCCAGGGTTCTCAAACGACCACAAGGGAAATAAGCTTTTGCATTATCGTTAATAGACACCCATTAACAACTCTTTGTCTTTACAATCTAATCATTAAACATAAACAAGATTATTACAGAAAATCGGCGTTTTTTATTAGATCAGCCGAACTATGGAACTGTCTGCCCTCGTACCCTAAAGTCTACCACTCGCTACCTGCATTCAAGTCTACCCTATAATTAACTTGTACATTACAAAGTTATCAACATACAGTCCTCCTGGTTGTTCCGGCTAATTATAGTCATTCCTGAACTTCTTTTTGTCATGTTAGTCGTTTCCAAATATGTGTATATGTATATAAATGTATACAAAAGTATAATGTATATATTGTTGAGTAAAGACAAATAGTATATTGTGTATATTGTAAGTGGTTAGGTTTCAAGTGGGACGAAAGTCCTGTTCCGTTCTCCTGTCACAGTTATTCTTCGTCAATGTCATTTTTTTTCCTTCTTTTTGTATGGTGACAAATTCAATAAATAAATAAATAAACTCAGCAGAGTGCTCAACAACACCGAAGTGGAGGAGCGTTATTAGGTCAATCTGCGGACATGCATGTTTCGGCGTTCTACGCCTCTCAGTGCAGCTTGGTACACCTCTGGGAACGTAATACATTCGTGTTTATAACACTTGAGATTGCTCTCACCAAGGCATGTGATACAACACGACGACATCGACGCATCCAGACATGCGTATAGTGTGGTGGGGCCAATTACTCACCTGACCGAAACTGAGGTGAGTACTTGTTTCAGCGTATACCACAACAAAACAAAAATGACCAAAAAATAGCGAAAATATTTTAAAGCAATTTATATTTCCGCTCCTGGCCGTAATATAGTTGTAAACAAAACACGCTTTTAGTAATTTTACTCATCAGAAATAGCTTTAAAGAATACCTCCACACATTACAAAGCAACATATTACATCTACACAATACCTAACAAATGAAACTGTATTAAAAATACTATATTCTGCATGTATACATAGGGATTTAAATCTGCATATTTTGCATATATACTTACGAGGTTTATATTCTAATTAAAATTAAGGATGTTTTGCTCGACTTCATTTGTTAAATATAAAAAACTACATAATGAAAATTATTTTTGATAAAAACTTAATAACTTTCGAAATGAAAATGGACTCAAGTTATTAAATATAACTTTTTTATGAATTTGAATATACGTTTAATAAACTTTTACAAGGAATGTGATGAACATTTTTAATTTATACAATTAAATTAATAGTTACGAGCAAAACACTACGTGATATTTGCTTGATATTAATGTATATTATTTCTAAAACCTAAATTGGAAAAAAAAAATTTTCAATCTATTGTATATGATTTCCATCTTTGGTACTTTATTTTTTTCGATTGAAATTCAATATTTTGGAGTAAATCTAATGTTTTTTAATTGACTGGTGGTTTTGTTTTAATCTCGTAACGATTAAAAACGATTAATATTTAAAATTTAATATAATGAAAACAGGCTGCGCACTGTTTACTACCACGTTACCACAACAACGAGAAAACTCGTATTAAACCCAAAATTTTCAAAAACTGACAATTTGTGGAGTTTGTCACGGCAGAAAAGAGATCGAAAAATTGGTTTCAAGTTTACAAGTATTTCTATTAAAAAAAGTCATGTTTGGAAATATATTTACACATAGCAGTGTGTTGTTTTTCCTTCTTGTGCAAAGTGTAGCAGGTTTTCATCAAACTTGCAACACATGCGGTCGAATAGATTTCAACGTCGAACAGGGAGTGCAGGACAGATTTTTGGATGATGGCCGAAAGCTGATGACTAAGATTGTTAAAAGCGACTCGGAATGTTTCGTAGAATGCTCGCTAGACTGCCGTTGCATATCGTTTAGTGTTTGCGAGAATTCATGTCAGTTGAATGCTGGAAGTCGTAAGTTGGTGAAAAATTCACTGCGCCATAAAGCTGGGTGTAGTTACTACGATTTTCCCCCGTTTGAGGTAAGTCTATCATCGTATCGGAAATTTGACGCATGCAGGCGTTGTATTGTAGGCGTTTCCAAACGTATATCCCTAGCTCTCTTTTCCCTTTTTTGACGCTAACAGATGTGGGGAAAATAGTCGAGCACACGAGCACTGCTTTCAGGAACTTTTGGAAAGGAACAGGAACTTAGATTGAGGATTTGCAACTTGAAAATATGAAGAAAAACATAGCCTTTGACAAAACATTTGACTCACATGCAATGGGTCTATAGATATAGCAATGGGTACTGAGAGGCATTTTATTTCTTATGTTCAAAACACTGCTCGATATATAGAGAGTATTTATGAGGACGATGCATGGCTATAGGTTATTCACAAAAATATTCTGCTCGACTGCAGGAATTTTCTATTGTCCGGTTGTGGTTACAGATGGAAAGTTATTTTTTCTACTCTTGAACGCTAATCTACTTCCTAACACCATGATTTCAGTGCATGTGAACATACTATAATACTTTTATTAATATAATGTATAATATAATGTATAATATAATGTATGATATAGTGTATCTGATGTATTTTCAGAGTGCATGTGGTTCCTCATCCAGTCCACCAAGACTTTGCTGCTTGCCCTCATCTTCACTGTGTTACAACAGGGCTACCTGTATTGTCAACGTCACTGACACCACCAGACGATTTCAATGCAAGTGCCCGACTGGTTACTATGGAAGCCAATGTCAAATCAAGAATCCGAGAACATGTTTGGATTATTGGACTGACGAAGTCAAACCGATATCCAGAAAGTACATCATTGTGGACTCGAAGGGAACATTGTATGATGTCTTTTGCGATTTCGACTCTGAGGAAGGCCTGGTGTGGACCCTCTTTGAATCGTTTGACGTGGACAGTATGGTGCACGTGAATGAAATACCGTTCACAAAGGACTGTCCTAAAAATGAACATGATCTAAGTTGGAAACTTTCTCGTCTTCCCAAGTCGGTAATGTCGGAAATCTCGTCTCGTTCTACATTTTGGAGGGCCACATGTTCCTACTCTCTGTATGGGGTTGATTTTCTAGACTACGTCAGAGTGAGATTATCGATAATGAATCCCTTAACGCACAATAATAAATTTGGAAAGGAAAAATGTTCAACTGTGGATTACATCGATATAAAGGGTACGAATTGTGTAAATTGCGCACAAAAAATTTGGCAAAGTAGTAATACGATGCTCCGTCTCCGACCAAAGAGAAGTCGCCTTGATAAATGTAATTTCGACACATCAAAGGTCGAGCATAGATGTGACAACGGGACCTATGCGCGACTTCTTGGCCAATATGACGTGTGTTCAGACCCGAAGTACCGATGTAGCGAGAAAACTACGTCTACAACCGAATTTTGGTTTGGTGCTGTAAAAGCGAAGTATTATAGGAACGAGCTTGATGCATTTTAAAAACTCTGCTAGTGCCGCTGTTAGTGATCAATGATTTCCATTTATTAACTTTGCTGGCCTCAGCACTGTAGAATTAGTGAACTTGGGAAGCTAAAACGACGACGGCATGAAACGAAACTATACTTACATTTCTGAAAATTTTATTGATTCAAATATTCTGAATAATCAACTATTCTCTGGCTATAGATAGCTTTTACGGGCTTTCGACTATCGCGGACATGTAGCCTTCAACAGCTGAAAGAATATGATTGTACTGATAGGAGCAATAACGTGTGGAATTTCTCATTGAGTATACCAGCTCCCTTTCCTTGTTGACAAATAAAATTGTTTGGCGTTAGACAGAATGAAAATAATAAAGTAGGGCGCATTAGGGTACAATGCAATCAGAGTAACATTATTGATAGTGAATCCTTTAAAACATACAATAGTTCATCTTCAACATGGTTAACCGTAGATTACTTCGACATGAAAGGCACCAATTGCGTAAAATGCACGCAAGCATTTATTCAAACTAATGAGCAAATGCTCAAACTCAAACCCTGGTCCAATCGTGTGAAATGGAATTGTAATTTTGACACATCAATGGCTGAGCATGTGGCTCTGTTACAGGACATTCACGACTTCCCGGTGGTTATAAAATGAAATGTTTGGACTCGAAACACCGATGTAATGAGAAAACAACGTCTATACAACTGAATTTTGGTTTAGTGCTGTGAGGACGAACAATGAGAAGTAAAATGAACATACATGTTGATAAAGCGTTAACGAAAAGAAAAATAATTTAAAGGAAAATGGCAATAAAAATAAAGTTTGCCTATGCAGATTATTTACAAATTCTTTTTACCAATTCTCCCAATGTATCTTACACCCGTTTTCAAAATTACGCGACCAAGGACGAAAATCCTAGAGTTGACATGTCAGTTTTATGTCATTCGGTCACGAAGTTTAAACTTTGAGTTTTGCGGTTCCTTGTCGATGTATATGCTTTGTATGCTTTATATAAACAGGCTTACAATGACTTTCAAGATATTTTAGTGAGAATTACTGCAAAATGTAAGCACAAACAAAATCATAACATCACCGTTATAGTCTAGCGCGCGTGTTTTATACTGACAGCTAAATTCCAGGATAAATTGTTATTTTTCAAATTTTAAAAGTTATTCACGACACATATTTCTGTAGTGATGGTTTGTATTGTGCTTTAGTTTGTATACCTAAGTTATCTAACTCATTTTTGTTCAGTTTTGGTATTAAATACGGTTTAAAATGTCTTTTGACAGTTTGTTTACGTTTGATATTTTTAGCAGTTTTTGTGACATAAAACTGACATTTGAAGTAAGAGTATTTTTCAGGGAGGTCGCGTAATTTTGAAAATGGGTGTAATCTTTGAGATATTTGCAACCAAAAATCCTGCTCTGTCATCTTATTTTATAATTATATATCTAATTATAAATGATGTCACAACCATGAGGGTATAGATGTTTTAAAACTAAAAAATAATATCAGGTGAAAGCTAATGCACAGCTTGTGCAGTTGTGCTTTAAGTTAAAATTGGCAGGAGATGAAAAATAGGATTTAGATTTTATGAGCAGAGAAATGCTCAAAATATACGAAATAAATTCATCCCTGTAACTTTGGTATATGCATATCCAAGATGGCGGACTGCATAATGAATTTGTTTTAAATAAAGGGGTAATATTATTTTGCCAAGAACGATAAAAAATCAGTATACGAATTTGAAATTTGTTGACTCACTCTTCCGTGCAATTGGGGAAAACTTAATTTTCATCCCTTTAATTTAAAAGAAAACTTGGGTTGTGTATAAAGAACCTAAATATAACTTCTGTTTATTTGGCTGGTGGTGATATACAGTAGCAGGGCCTCTCAGAGGGGGGAGGGAAAAGGAGACAATTTGCCCTTGGCCCCCAGTTAAAGGTGCCCCCAAACTTTGCAAGAGGGGGGCACAAAAGGGCGCAATTAAAAAAGTATTTGGAACGTCTTTTTATATAAATAATGGTATAAGAAGAATTTTTAGACTTAATTTTTTCTGATGTTGGTCCGGAATATTGTATTTTACCCGTATTTTACAGGTATTTGTTGGGAAAAATATTTATGAACCTTAATGTAACTGGTATTTGTCCGAAAAATTGTTTCGCCGTTCTACGCCTCGTCAGTGCAGCTTGGTACACGTCTAGAAACGTGATACATAGGAGAAATATTACCCGAAGTGATGATACTTATCATCACTGAGGGTAATGTTTCTCCTAATCCCCCGAGCGGAGGGTCCATAAATGATATATTATAGCGAAAATAAAAGCCTCCAAGTTGAGAATTAAAAACTTGACACATACCTTCGGGAATACGATGTTTTATTTTTGAATTAACGTAAGTATCGTCGCATTTCTTTCGAATCACATATCGTTTGGAATATTAATGACAACATTTTTCAAAATTTGCTTCAAAATTTTGAAAAAGCCGCAGGTTTTACGTTTATTAATTTTTTTATTCATCATCACTCATTAATACTATTTATGTTTTGTTGGCCATCTTGTTGTCATGCGTGTTGTCCCGCGTGGTCTATGCGAATAATGTTTCACCCCATGTTCCCCGGGGAACATGCATGGGGTGGAACATTAGAGAGGTTAAGATACCCCGATTCCGGTTTACGGGTACGGGTGATATACACGTACCCGTACCCGTAAATCCGGGAATAACTTGTAACTTAAGAAATCCAAGATACTCCGACGTGAGAAAACCGATCAGAGAATGGCAACTTTCGCTGTTGAGGTTCGCCATAAATTGTTGAAAACTTTGACTAGCATATGTGCATTATTTATTTGGGTAAGATGTTGAAAATTTGTACTATTTAAACGGCCCAAAAATAGTAAACAGAAAACACCCGTAACCGTTTGTCGTTTACGTGTAGACCATAGTTTACCGCGGGGAAATGGGTAGAAATTACGGGTAAAATTGCTGACATCAGCAAAAATTGGTAAACAAAATGGTGATACTCGTACCCGTAAACCGGAACCGGGGTATCTTAACCTCTCTATTGTCAAAAGGAACGCAGGTTCGCTACTTGATGACGTAAGGCGTGATATCGCGATTAATTTCATGCTCACGTGCCACAAACTCAGCTTCCGGCCTGATTGGACAATTTGAAGTCGAGGTCTAATATTCGTATTAATAACACATGAGCTTGCTCTCACCAAGGTATGTGGTCAGGGCCTATCAGAGGGGGGCAAAGGGGGCAATTTGCCCCGGGCCCCCAGTGTAAGGGGGGCCCCAAATTTGGAAAATTAAAAAAAATAATTTGGAACGTTTTTTGATATGAGTATTGGGTTGAGATAAAATTTTCTAAACCTAAATTTTGCAGATATTGGTCCAAAAAGGGGTATTAGCAATGTAATTTAAGAAGATTTGTCCGAAAAAAAATTTTTGGAACCTTTATTTAACTGATATTAGTCCGGAAAAAAATTTTTTGACCTTTTTTTTTGGAACGTCCGGAAAAATTTTTTTTGACCTTTTTTTGAACGTTTATATATATATATATATATATATATATATATATATATATATATATATATATAAGCTTTGATAGTAGGTCTGGCAAGCCAAACGAAGTCTCCTTGAGGGCGAAGGATCCAAATAGGATTCACAGCAAGTCCTGTCGTATATATATATAAAAATCAATTTAAAAATCAGAGACTATGCAACTTCGACCATCAATTTATTAAAAAAAAACTAAAAATACTAAAATAAAAGCTTAAAAGTTAAAAACGTTTCGGCAGAACTGCCGAAACGTTTTTAACTTTTAAGCTTTTATTTTAGTATTTTTAGTTTTTTTTAATAAATTGATGGTCGAAGTTGCATAGTCTCTGATTTTTAAATTGATTTTTATATATATATATATATATATATATATATATATATATATATATATATATATATATATATATATATATATATAAGCTTTGATATTAGGTATGGCAATGCGAAACGATCCACATCTACTGAATTTAAAGTTCGTTTTCGTAACCACAAGTCAGCTATGCTTACGGATAAGAAAGTTTGTGAGATGGCCGTTCATTTTAATGAAAATAAACACGAATTTAAGGATTTGGAATTTGTAGCCACTGAAAAAGTTGACTTAGTGAATGGCGAAAATGCCAATAACCCTTTATTGACCAGAGAAGCATATTGGATGGCACAGCTGTGTACAATTAGCCCTTATGGCCTCAATAAGAGATCTGAACTTCGATCAAAAAATAGGATCCATTATAAGTTGTAATAATTTATAATTATAATTATAACTAGCAAGCCATATTATGGTAATTTTGATCCTACTATTGATCCCTCATTAATTTGTTTACTACATAATATGGTAATTTTGATCCCGCTAATGCTATAAAAGCTAGACATTGTTAAATTGTAATATAAACTAATGAAGGCAGAATTGCCGAAACGTTTTTAACCTTTAAGCTTTTATTTTAGTATTTTTAGTTTTTTTAATAAATTGATGGTCGAAGTTGCATAGTCTCTGATTTTTAAATTGATATATATATATATATATATATATATATATATATATATATATACATCGCGTATAACCTGCATGCATATTATTATAATTGTATAATCTTTTGTATTTGTATAGTTTTCTCAGGGACCTTCTGAAAAACACAGCTTGTGATGTTGCATGGTTTTCCTGATTAAATACTATTATCAATCACTCAATCAATCAATCATACTTACGAGCTTTATATTCTAATTAAAACTAAGGATGTTTTTCTCGACTTCATTTGTTAAATATTAAAAACTATACAATGAAAAAGTTATTACATACAACGTTTTTATGAATTTGAATGTACGTTTAATTTCTACAATTAAATTAACAGTTGCGAGCAAAACTCTACGTGATATTTGGATGATATTAATGTACCGGGTGTCCCAAAAAAAAGTACTCCTGTTTTATTCGTAATAACTTCTAAACAAGTAAAGCTTTTTTAGAGAAATAACTTGCATTAAATAGAGGAAGGCCTAACTTAGATTTTGATATATTACAGTTGTATTTCACTTAAAAATTCACGGAGATATTAATCTTTAAAATCGGGAGCATATTTCTGGATGTGTCTGAAATATGCAAAAAACGGCGTATCAAATTTTAATCAAGATTTGCCCGACTGAAACATGCACTATTACCAGTAAATAAACGACACTTGACAAATTGTTTATTATGAAACAAAGTATTATTATCATAGTATCACAAAATACAAGCAAGATTTATTCGTCCGAAATTCGCGTGTGTTCCTAGCACGAATACGTTTCCTTATTTCATGAGACCACTGCATCGCGAAGGATCGTCATGGATCGTTCGTAGTTCTGAATTAGGGCATGCTGTCACAATGGAATTGTGAAGCAATTCTAACTTCTGCAACGTTCTGAAATCTTGTTAAGAACACCCAAACTCTTTTGTCGTTTCTTAATCTTGGCAAGTTCAGAGTAAACTGAGAATTATATGAAACACAATCAAACCATATAACTCAATAAGACATAACAATTAAGCAACTCCCTAGAGACATGCAACATTTTTGGAACAAAACCTAACAAAATAGTAGCATTGATACGGTGAATGTGTATTTGCAAAAAGCAATATTATTTCCTTCAATAAAGAATAATATTCATCCTGCTCTAACCGAGAAGTAATCAACTCAGTCTGTTTGAACCCATTAAAAACATAAAAAAATTAGGCTATTTAAGAAAAATTTAAGCGCCTGCCTTCCATGGTCTTTCATGTACTTTTAAGTTTGTAAAGACCTAATATTAAATACTTGCATAATTTCGAACGTTCATATTTCAGGAAACATTGAGCTAAGACTTACATGTAAGATGTCTAAATCTACGCCATATCCCTTACAAACCCTAACGACAATTCGCTGAAATACAAGTTAGCCTGATATGTCATTAACAAACAAACACTGGAGTTAATATTTGATATGCCGATTTTTGCTAATTTTAGACACATCCCAAAAGATGCTTCCAATTTTGAACATTAATATCTCTGTGGATTTTTAAGTAAAATGCAACTGTAATATGTCAAAATCTAAGTTAGACCTTCCTCTACTTAATGCAAGCTATTTCTCTTTAAAAGCTTTACTTGTTTAGAAGTTATTACGAAACAAACAGGAGTACTTTTTTGGGGGACACCCGGTATATTATTCCTAAAACCTAAATTGGAAAAGAACGATTTCAAATCTATTGTGTAATATTTTTCATCTTTAGTAGTTTATTTGAAATTCAACATTTTGGAGTAAATCTGATGATTTTTATTTGACTGGTGATTTTGTTTTAATCTCGATGGATTCAAAAGCGATTTTGAAGATTGGAGAAATTAAAATCACTTTTTTAATCACTATTTTGTAGTTAAATAGTGATTAACTCTCAAATAGGCGCTTCTTAGGCTATTGGATGACGTTTGCACTTAATCATAGTTAACTTTAATCACTTTTTTATACAACCGGCCCAGGATTCTAAGATATATAAATTAATGTAGTAACGATTAAAAACGATTAATATTTAAAATGTAATATATTGAAAACAGGCTTCGCACTGTTTACTACCACGTTATTACAACAACGAGAAAACGCATATTAAACCCGAAATTTCCAAAACCTGACAGTTTGCGGGGTTTGTCACGGCATAAAAGAGCTCATCAAATTGGTTTCAAGTTTACAAGTAATTCTATTAAAAAGAAGTCATGTTTGGAAATATATTTACACACAGTGTGTTGTTTTTCCTTCTCGTTCAAATTTTAGCAAGTTTTCATCAAACTTGCAATAACTGCGGTCAAATAGATTTCAACGTCGAACAGAGAGTGCAGGACAGATTCTTGCATGATGGCCGAAAGCTGACGACTAAGATTGTTAAAAGCGACTCGGAATGTTTCGTAGAATGCTCGCTAGATTGCCGTTGCATGTCCTTTAGTGTTTGTGAGGATTCATGTCAGTTGAATGCTGGAAGTCGTACGTTGGTGAAAAATTCACTGCGACATAAGCCTGGGTGTAGTTACTACGATTTTCCGCCGTTTGAGGTAAGTCTATCATCGTATCAAGAAAAATTTGACATATAGGCGTTGCATTATAGGCGTTTCCAAACGTATCCCTCTCTTTTCCTTTTTTTGTGGAAGTGGGGAAAATATAGTCGGGCACGCGAACACTGCTTTCAGGAATATTTGGAAAAGAACGGTAACTTTTTTGAATTGAGGATTTGCAACTTAAAAATTTAAAGAAAAACATAGCATATTTGACTCATATGCAATGGGTCTATGTAGCAATTAGTACTGAGGGGCATATTTATTCTTTAAATTCAAAACCATGCTCAGTAGACATATGAGGACGATACATGGCTATATAGGTTGTATACTCGTCACCAAAATGCTCGTCCGCAGGAAATTTCGATCGTCCCATTGTGGTTACAGAAGGAAAGTTATTTTTTCTACCCTTGAACGCTAACCTACTTTCTAACACCATGACTTCAGTAGATGTGAATATACTATACTTTTTTGAAAAACTATAATATACTAATGCATCTAATGTATTCTCAGAGTACATGTGGTCCCTCATCCAGTCCACCAAGACTTTGCTGCTTGCCCTCATCTCCACTGTGTTATAACGGGGCTACCTGTATTGTCAACGTCACTGACGCCACCAGAAGATTTCAATGCCAGTGCCCGACTGGTTACTATGGAAGCCAATGTCAAATCCAGGATCCGAGAGCATGTTTGGATTATTGGACTGACGAAGTCAAACCGATATCCAGAAAGTATACCATTGTAGACTCGAACGGAACATTGTATGATGTCTTTTGCGATTTCGACTCCGAGGAAGGCTTGGTGTGGACCCTCTTTGAATCGTTTGACCTTGACGGTATGGTGCACCTGAATGGAAAACCGTTTACAAAGGACTGGCCTAAAAATGAACATAATCTAAGCTGGAAACTTTTTCGTCTTCCCAAGTCCGTAATGTCGGAAATCTCGTCTCGTTCGACGTTTTGGAGAGCAACATGTTCCTACTCTCTGTATGGCGTTGATTTTCGAGACTACATGAGAGTAAGATTATCGATAGTGAATCCATTAACACACGATCTTGCTTTTTTAAATGAAAAATGTTCAACTGTGGATTACATCAATATAAAAGGTACGAATTGTGTAAATTGCACACAAATGATTTTCCAAAGGAGTAATACGATGCTCTTTCTCCGACCCAACAAGAGTCGCCTAATTGGTAAATGTAATTTCAACACATCAAAGGTCGAGCATAGATGTGACAACGGGACCTATGCACGACATCTTGGCCAATATGACGTGTGTTCAGACCCGAAGTACCGATGTAGCAAGAAAACTACGTCTACAACCCAATTTTGGTTTGGTGCTGTAAAAGAAAACTATAGAAACGAGCTTGATGCATAAAGGCTCTGCTAGCGCCGCTGGCAGTGATCAATGATTTCCATTTATCAACTTTGCTGGCCTCGTCACTGTAGAAATAGTGAATTTGGGAAGATAAAAAGACGAAGGCATGAAACGAAACTACTTATACATTCACTACTTATACACTATAGATATTTTTACGGCCTTTCGTCTATCCATAGCCTATCGAAGGGAAGATGGCTGTGGAACTCATTAGAATAACAATATAACTCATTATCTATGTTGGTCAACATTTATTCATAAATCTGGTCCTTCACAGCCACCTTGTCCAACTAACCGATAGCAATGTTTTAGGAAAGTCACCTATCCGTGACTCTAACAAGAGGGAAACTGGAAATTGCTATTGGTGGATTTGGTAAAAATACAATACACACGTGACGGTGAAACGACCAGATTTATGAACAAATGTTGACTAACATAGATAATGAGTTACAATGTTATTCTAATGAGTTTCACAGACATCTTCCCTTCGATAGGCTATGGTCTATCGGACCTATAGCCTTCAACAAGTGAAAGCATATGTGCATGGTAGAGCGCGATAGGGCACGATGCAACTAATGGGTTAATTAATGAAAACTTCTAGTTACTAGTTAATATTGTTGTGGAAGAGGTTTTAAGTTAACAATAACATTAACAATATAGCAGTGTGCCACGATTCTATATATAAGGTTTTCCTAAACCTGTTTGTCGATAACATGTCCGTCATTCAAAGTTGTTAAGATCACAGATTGTTACACAA